AAGGAAGAAAGAAAATGATGTTTCAGACGACAGTAGCAAGTAAGGAGCAGATAAGAGGACACGTCTTCCAAGGGGTGTTGTAAGTAAGGGGAGCTCTGGTATGGGGTAAAGCAAATAGAGACGGGTTGAAAACACCACATGGTTACATGACTGTATCATTGGTATTTTTCAATCATTGATGAGGTATTCTGCTCAATCCTTTGGCTCTCTTTCTCTCTGTCTGTCTGTCTTTCTCTCTCTCTCTCTCTCTTACCCTTTCTTTTCTCTCCCTTTCTTTTCTCTCCCTTTCTCCCCTCTACCTTTCTTCCCTTTCTTCTCACCTCTCTCACTCTTGTCTTGTTTTTCTTTTGACTCTTTCTCTCTCTCTCTCTCTCTCTCTTTCTCTCTCTTTTTTCTCTCTTTCCTTTCTCTCTTTCTCTCTCTCTCTCTCTCTCTCTCTCTCTCTCTCTCTCTCTCTCTCTCTTTCACTCAACATTCATGCCAGCCATCTCTGTATTTATGTTTGGTTTCCATGGTGAGAGGAATTCCCCAGGGATAGTAGATGAGCCTACCTGAAGAATGAGCTCTGTGGCTCGATCCAGCCAGGTCTAGCATCAGCCAGTCTATCTTTGATACTTTGATAATGCAGTGCACTGCCAGGAATAAACAAGCATGTATGGTTTTTACCGTTAAAAACTTGTATAGAAGCCCCAGTCATTATATTTATACAGATATACATTTTTTGCAGTACATTTTCATATCGGCCTCATGTTGACTTCTTTGTCTATTCATGATTCTCCTCCGTTGATACATTAATATTTCATAATTTTAAAAGCCAGCTGTTGAATGTTGGCAATAGCAACATGATCATTACGTGCGTCTGATTGCCTGTATTAAACATGACGCATTCCCCCCAAATAGGCGTCACTTTGCAGTCATTTGCTGAAACTGCTACACAAGGCCACTTTAATACTGCATGGTCGGCCAACCAACCAACATGAACTATCCGAGATTACCGGCTAAGGCTTGAGTCAGAAATGATGTGTCCGGAACTGGCATTTTGATCAGTAATAGCAAATGAAGAAGCCTCGGAGAAATAGAAAATGGATTGTGAATATCTTTCACAGCTCCTGTTATATGATATGGACTGTGTCATGCCAAAGTACTTTGAAAGATGAAGAAATGAGAGATGCTGAAGTGCGTCATTGCATGAATTTCTAATCTTTTGCCTAAACCCTTCATCTCTTATAGTAAGGCTACATACTAACTTTGTTTGCGGGGGGGGGGGGGGGGGGGGGGGGGGGGGATTGAAGTTTCCAAGTAGGGGTTTTATGAACTAGGCCCCTTTTAAATTGTTGGGGGGAGGGGGGGGGGGGGGTTTAGAGTAAAAATTGGGGCTCATGTGCAACAGACCCTTTGGCCTTAGATCCTCCGTAGTAAAAACAAAGAAATACCATACATGCTCAGTCAATAAACTGTTCTTAAGAGCAGTTAATAACCCACTTCTGAGAATGATGTAATCATAGGAAAAATTAGATAATTCAAAAGGACGTAAAGAGTTCTTTTTAGCGTGATAACTTTCATATTGACAACATATATTGACAATATAGAATGTATAGATGCATCCATTCAGAGCTCGTCCTCCGTACATGTTTGACTGTCGAGACATACAGTAAACTATTCATGATTTGACCTTTAGCGAAGACCTATTAGTACGCCATTTTGATAGCTGGCATTACTCTTTCGCAACCAACAACATAACATTATTTATTAGAAGTCACCCACATTAAGCCACCATGATTGAGCAGCATGCATGCAAAGATACTCAGCGCGGCTCGGTATTGATTAGGAAAGACGGATATTTGCCGAGAGTGATCCTTCGACAAATCCGATGCCGGGTCTGGAGGCAGCAGTATATAAGCCTTGGATCTTGTTTATTTATACAGATGTATGCTGCAATGATGCGCTACAACTCATTTGAAAATGTCCAGGGCCCCCGTTGCACAAAACTAACCATTGATGGTAACTTTGCCATCTACAGTGTACCATGGAAACCTTTGATTTTGATTGGCTGTTGAGCCCTGTTACCATGGTAGTTGCCATTGATAACAAAGTTACCATCAATGGTAAGTTTTATGCAACAGGCCCAGTTTAAACTACATGTATCACACAGGTTATGGAATAATAAAGCAAAAATGGAGACCCCCCAAAACAGCTATGATAAGCTGCAATACCTGATATATATACACATGCATGTTTTAAACAAACCCAAATTCATCTGCAATGCCTGAAATATGTAAATTATGCTTGTTTTATGCAAATAAGATGGATGATGCTGTTTTTTCATTGTCTGTTTAATCATGTCTCACAAGACCTTGCTAAAACATTGCAAAGGGCAAATATTGACCATGTTCCTCTCGTCCTGCCTGCCTTCGCATGCATCATGCAGGCATTAGAGTTCACATGGGCATACTAAATGTATGAGTCAGACTCAAAGGTTCATTCATACCAGAGGAAATTTGTATACAAGGAAATTCATATACAAAAAATTGTATGAAAAGAGATGTTGTACAGAGAATCAACGGATAGCAAAAGGGGCGTACACATTGCATAACACCATTTCATATAGAAACATATTATATATTAAGAAACTAGATGTGAATGGGTCAGTTTACACGACAGCTGGTCAGTCATCAGTGTGCACTCACAGTTTTTGTACAATACAATGTTTACCAGACGATTCTTTATCAAGTTTTTGTTTGAAAGGACGCTCAAACCTGTGTTTCTCTCTATGACGTTTCATACTAGAATCCATGCCAGACTAGAAAAAAAAATTTACTTATAGCTATACCGTTTTCATGTAGCTATACCATAAATTTTGGTAGTCCGAACAGGGGGTCAGAAAGCAAGAGTGGACCGACTGTCTCGAGTCTGGGGCGGGGGATGGAGGAGACGTGATGATGGAAGATGGGTGGGATAGATGACTCTGAGAGAGACAAGGATATATTGAAGTACAGATTACTGACTGGAAGGGTGATCGGGATATGCAGCTGATCTGTCTGTTTGTGTGAAGAGAGCTAGTCTGTAAGATCGTGGATGCTATATTTGCTTTGTTTTGAAATGTTAACTCAAATACATAAATTATGCAGTGGGGAGTTAGAAGGGGGAGGGGGTGCATGCTGAGGGCAGTGAACTCACTTTAAATACCCCCCCCCCCAAAAAAAAAGAAAGAAAAGAAAACAGGAGGGGCATTAAACACAACTTCTGTCATTTTCAACAAAACTCCATACTAACTTTTGTCAAAGGGAATTTTTTGTTAGAAATAATAAGTGGGACTGTAGCAAGAATGATAATGTCACTTTTTTTTAAAAGATGATTCATGTGGTGAAATGTGAGATAGATGTTGGCCTGGCTGAGTCGCATTATTGACTATAAGAATAGACTTTGAATGAATTTAAAGAAATCAATAGCTTGGCCAAGTGACTGACAAGACATTTCCAAGATAGCTTGCTGATCGACAGTGACACCCAAGGTAGAAAAAATTGTCTGTGATGACGAAACACTGTTGCTTGAACTGGAGAAGCTTGGCGGAAGTCTTGGATAGATAAAGGCATGGATTACTCAAAGGGAACACATAGTGTCATGATTGAGAGGGATGGAAGAACATCTTGGCAGTATTTCATCTACCGTAGATGTCTTGCTTTCAGGCTTAATGTCTTACTCTCTCCTCTTGATGTCTTTAAAAGTCTGGAACATTTTCTTTAGATTTTCCTTTAGAAATGAAGCTGTAAATGAGTCTGAAATTCATGCTTATGAGATAATTTTTTTTTGTTAAAGATGGAGTAGTCTATGTCATCTAGACTCTGGTTTTAATGGTTTCCATGAAACACATATTGGAAAAGCTTGGTCCATCTTGAAGTAAGGCTACTGTCGATGTCTTACATTTGATAGGGTAACATACCATTGTAGATGACTACAAGGTAAGATTAATGACCGTGGATGTATGCTTGTAGATAGCATCCACTGAGTCATAAGACCTAAGCCAGTATAAAACCTATTGACAACATCTTAGTGTGTCTCTCTATCTCTCTCTTGATCTTGGCTATAATGTGATTATGTATGCATCATTATTAAAAGAGAAAAGTACATGATCTTGTCAGAAGTATTAATACTATATGAAACATAGTAAAGAAGTATTTCTGTGTTATTGTGATTAATAAGAGCATTTATTATTCATTATCTATTGATAAAGGAAGAGGTTGAATAGAAACTATCCTTCCCTTCAAAAAAAATTAAAATGCATATCGACGCTGATGTTAATTAAACTAATACATGGTATGGAATATTGGGTAGTTTGCCAGCAACTAAACTTTAAGAAAACAAGAAGAATTGGTTTTTACTTCAACTCAATGATATGATCTGGATCGTCAACTACCAAAAAAATGGCATAATCCTTATCTAGCATTGGGTGAAGTTGGTATCCCAACTTCGTTTATGTACTGCCATCGTTGTATGCCTGAGCTTGGTCCTCTACATCATTATGAAACATTGCTTCATGTGGTACTTAGCTTAGACAGGTGTTAAAATTGTAATGAGCCCGCTCACTAATGATATTAATTTGTTATTATCTCTTCTCGTTTATCCTCTATCTCTCCCTCTCCCTATTGTCCTTCATCACACTCTATGTTCTTGTTTCTACCCTATATTTTTCTGTTCCTTTTCCATGCTCTCTCTCTCTCTCTCTTCCTGTCTCTGTCTGTCTCTCTCTCTCTCTCTCTTTCTTCCCCTGTCTCTCTCTGTCTCTTTATCTTTCACTCTAGTCATGAATTTTGTTATATATTATACTTTGTGCAAACATCATTTTGTTCTTATCAAAGTTAATCCGTTTTTTAAACCACATTTGTATTATTATTGCCAAAAAACCAACATAATTCTGCCATTTGGATGGAAGTACAGTCATAATAAAACCTTTTCAATCAATCAATCTGTGTCCTTCTCTATCTCCCCATCACTCCCTCCAGGCCCGTGTCAGCAAGGAGCAAGACCAATTCCTGATCAACCCCTTTGGCCTCCTCTACCACGAGGTCACCGCGTCCTCCCTCGTCAAGCTCGACTCCGTAGGCAACATCATCGACCACGGCACCACATCCTATGGCCCCAACCTGGCCGGCTTCACACTCCACTCCGCTATCCACAATGCCAGACCAGATGTCAAATGCATCCTCCACGCCCACACGCCAGTCATTGCTGCTGTAAGTATCATGGCCGTAATGATCAAAGGATCAAGACATATAACAAGCCTCTCTCAAGAGTTGCCAGTTAATGTATACCAGGGCAGTGTTTCACAAATTCGCCCACAACCCATTGAAACGTTTGTATTAAAATTAACACACGTTTCAACGAGATGTTGTCCTTATGACAGTTTCGTGAAACATGCCCTGGGGGGTGTTTCACAAAGATCAACTTCATTATGATCTTTTTCCTTCAATAATGAACTATCCAGAAAATGTAAATTCTGTAGATTTGTGACCATGATTTGTTCATCCCTTGAGAGATCAATGCCAGAGAATGGTGAGAGAAAACAGTAGCATGAACGGCCTGCCAGTCAAGTCCAAATTAAAGTCAATTTTACTCTTTGTAAAACACCCCCCTGGTTTGCTTAGTTGTTCCAGTCACATCCGAAAAGCATTGAAAGTTATGAATCAATTACTCCTCAAATCAGCTCTCAATTAAAATAAGAAAAAGGGGATCATGGGGGACCAACGGGTACCACTTCAGGATTGTTTGCTATATAGAGGGCGCAAGTTGTTTTTAAGTAGTGCAGTCCCACTCTAATCATTCCTCTTTGCCCTACCAGGTATCCGCCATGTCGTGCGGTCTCCTGCCCATCTGCCAGGAGGCTCTCATCCTGGGTGAGGTCTCGTACTACGACTACAAGGGCATCATCATCGATGACGAACAGAAGGACAGCATCATCAGGGCACTGGGTCCCAAGAAGAGGGTCCTGTTCCTACGCAACCACGGTGTCGTATGCTGCGGACAGACCATCGAGGAGGCCTACTTTCTCACGGTCAACGTCGTGGCAGCATGTAATACACAGGTCAGTTGAAGGGGTAGTAAATATGTCTACCCGTTTGCCCTGTAATCAAGAAGACATTTTCCCTTAATATTCCAGTCTTTGATTCAATATCATGCTAAAAATTCCTCCCTTATCAGACAATTTAAATTTAGCATTTGTCACTACTTTTGAAGACAATGTGTGAATCTGTATTTAAGCTCTCAGTTACTATTTTTTTAAATGAAACACATCAATCCTTTTTACCTTTATACCCATTTGCACCTTTCCTGTACACATCTAAGGATTGGTGAGAACAAAATCACATAGGTTCAAACAGGGTTCATCTTGACTTTAACTGAACTTAAAATTAGATGGATTTCAAACCAAGGATCCAATTTCCTTTACTTTCATAGGTATCTTGTTTCTCTTGAAAAGAATCTGAACAGCTTTAAGAAATTAATTTCAATGCAAATATGATCAACCAACTTGATGAAACTCTCTTCTATTCAGGTTCAAGCAATGACTGCAGGTATAGACCACCTGATCCAGGTATCATCAGAGATTGCAGAGAAGACCCGTGAGGTCGCATCCCAGGGCGGTGGAGGCGTACAGGGAGACGATCAGATCAAGAAGTGGCGCTGGGGAGAGCTCGAGTTTGAGGCTATGATGAGGCAACTGGATAACATGGTAAGATGGGAAAAGGATTGTGGGAAAACTTGTTGTGAATTAGATAAGATGGACGGTGCCGTCTTTCAACCTCAGAGAGCGGAAATATCCCACTCGCACTGACAAGACCCACACTATACAAGAATTTGGTTACCCTGAATGGCCAAGATTCTGTCAATTAGCTGTTGGCTTGGAGTTGATTTCCAGTTGGGTTTAATGGTGGTACTGGGATACAAGATCATGTTTATGATATTTATAACTCAAAGGTAGTCAGTGACAATGGGTTTCCAGAATAGAGCTTGGACATGAAAGAGATTTAGGATTACCTATTCCAATGTGCAGGGTTTTATAGTTAGGTATAGAGTATGGAAGACTAGCTATATACATGAAGGTTCAACATATTGCATCAAGCTCAAAATGGCCCTGCAAGACCAGTTCTAAGATACTTATCAACTGCCGAGAGCCAGAAGAACAGTAAGTCATATCCATTTTATACAGAGTTAACACCCTTTTGGCTCTCCGCAGATGATTTTTTAATTTTTCCTTGTGGGGGAAAACGGAAGAACAGACTTCGGATGGGTTGAATCTGTATTTGATGCAGATGGTCATATTTAAAGCCCCACTGTACTACTTGTAGCTACTTGCTCCCTCTATATAGAAAACTTCTCCAATCGGTGCCTGTTGGTCCCCCATGATCCTCTTTTTCTTATGTTAATTGAGAGCTGAATTGATGAGATAGCCAACTGTCAGTGACCACCCTGGGTGGTCTAATCCCTTCTGGCCGAACTAGTACAGACGGCCTTAAAAGTGTTGGTATAAAGTCCTCAAGTAACCATCTTCCCATATGCCTCCCATCCATCCACCCCTAGGGTCACAGAACCGGTTACATCTACCACGCCCCTCTGACCCGGTCCGAGCCCAAGCCACGCAGCGACGTCGCCTACCCGGCCGTCTCCACCGGTGTCACCTACATCTACGACGATGACGTGGACGCCAGCAAGTACGAGTCACCCCTCAAGATGCTCAACAGGAGAAAGGCAAACGAGAAGACCAAATGGATGAACACTCCCAACTCGTATTCCAAGGTGGAGGTGCCGGTGGAACAGAACGGAGAGGAGAGCCCCAAGACCAAGACAAAGGTAGGTAGACTTTTCTTCTGGATATTGGTCCAAACTCTAATGAATGTCATTCTGCAGCATCCCTGGGGCTAATATTGGAGAATTTAAACAGTTTTCAAGGTTATCTTCAATGTTAATTTGAAAACTATGTATCAAATTGCCAAGATGAATATTCATTTGGGAGTAGGAAAACCTTCCTTTACATATTTTTACTTGTATTTGATTGGTTGGATGGTAAAGAGGTAGGTAATTCTATTAGCAGTATGTTTGGATCAGCTTTGTTTCTTAATTGTTTACGAGCGACATCATGATCATAACGTCGGAGCCCACAGAACGGACATTAAGGAGTGTATGAGAAACGTAGGTGCGGGTAATGATAATAATATCTGTGAAGCGCTTAAAAACAGTATTCCGTATTAAGCGCTATATAAATCCAGACTTGAATTGTTCATATTATTTCTCCTTTGCTCTTGTTTATATCAGTGGGTGAGTGAAGTAGACAAGACAGCAGGACACTCCACTAAGCACCAGGATCCTCAACAGTTTGCCAAGCAGAGCGACAACCCTAGAGAATTCAAGACAAACGCCAAGAAGGTAAATCAGCAATATCATGAAAAACAAACCAGTGAAAATCATAGAGTACCAAAGTGCTATAGAGTGGTGAAGCGTGACGTCATCAAAAATCTATTTTTGGAATTTCTCAATCTTTTCTTCATTTTCCGAAAGACCATCAAAAATAATGTCCAAATGTTGAAAACCAATTGAATAGGTTAAGTATTGGCTGAGATATGACCATCTGAATAAAAGATTGCCTATGGGAACTCAGTGTTATATTGCTCTGGTTCATAACATTGTAACCTTGGGGCCTACATGTATGTCCATCATACTCATGTTAGGGTCAAGCACTGGTTTCACTTGGGCTAGTAAACAATTGCCTCTGCCTAAATATCTAAATATGAGGGTTTCACATTGTAACCTTGGGGCTTATGTCCACCAGACTCATGTTAGGGTCAAGCCCTTGTTTCAGTTGGGCTAGTAATAGTTCCCTCCATCTAAATATCTAAACTTGGAGGTTTTGCATTGTAACCTTTGGGCCCATGTCCATCAGACTCATGTTAGGGTCAAGCACTGGTTTCAGTGGGTTAGTAATAGTCCTCTCTTGTGAATTCTTCACCCCCTCTGCCCGAGAGTGACAACTTGTCCATACTTGTTTTTTCCCTGTCTCAGGTGACAGCTGAACAATTCACGGACAACAAGAACCCAGGCCCCACATCACAGGTCCTAGCTGGTATCGATGATGGACGCAAAGTACAGGTAAACATAGAATACTCATGCACAAGATAGGAAAAGTTGACATGGTACCCCCTCTAAGGGATTAGCAGTGGTGTACTTCTCAACCGAAATAGCATTTTTACACATCGGTATGAACATTCTATGAAGAATTCGGTGACTGTTACACTGGTAGCTCACTTTAGCCATAGTATGAAGACCATAAAAATGCTGAGAATACTGGATGCAATAAATCTTGTTAAAAACATGCAGGCTTCATTTTTAATATTTTTATGGTGAGTATTGTAATTTACTAATGTCCAATGAAATGAATGTCCAAAGAAAATAATTTCCACTTAAATTTCAGAAATTATATTAACTATTGTGCACTGCATGATATTGAAGTTTAATGTAAAAATTAATACAGTGAATATTTTCCGCATAATTTTTACACCAGCATGTGATATTTTATATTCTTCAACATGATTTGATTTGCAACTGATAGTGATGATAATTTGCCTCACATTTTCATCTTAATTTGCGAATGATTAAAGTATGATTTTATTCATCATCATCATTTTATTGATTTAAGAATGGTTGTATCTAATTTCGCACGGTAATTTACATTGTGAAGAACGTGACTAACTGACAGTATTCATTACAGACAAAACAGGAATAATTCATTATGTCTTTTATATGTCGTCGATTTCAGAATAATGAAATATCATGTAATCAAATATTGTTAATGATATACCTTGCTTGAGTGGATAATAGCGTCCTTTATACCCAAAATTAAAAAAGTAGCTGTAACCTCATAATAAAAATGAAGATGTTATCTGAAATGCTCATCAAACATGATTATATGCAGTATTATTTAGTTAAAAACAGTACTTACAATTAACATCAAATCATTTATGACGACAAGAGAGTATATTTTATCAAACCAGATATTCCTGATTTTGAGAAGGAAAGATATTATCTTATGAAAATAACACAGTTTTAGTAAGGTGCAAAGATATTCTAAAACAACCGAAGAGCAAAGATAGCTGTTCATTGGCATCTGATGCCTGTCTAGTATTAAAGCTTAATATAGATAGTAAGGAAGCGTTTTCCATTCAGTGTTTGTCACCAATTTCGGTAGCATTTGTTTTTCTAGATGTACACATATTTGTGGATGAAATCCAAAAAAAAATTGCACCAAAAATGCAAAATATAAAGTAGGGGAAAGTCTTGATAAATGATATCATTGGAAGATGGAAATTGCTTAAATGTTTAATGTTTAGAGAACAATTCATGATTTTCACCAAAGTGATACATGTAGTAGTTGTATTGTTACAGTGTAGGGCACTTTCTTTAACTTCATATCAATTTATCAAACTGTTTCATCTGTAATAGCATTTTATGTAGATTTCACACCGGTTGTCATGACTAAAAAATACCTCATGTTTTAGAACGATTAAACTCAACATAGGCTGCACAGTATTAACGGGGACTTCCACATATACGCTTCTAATACAAATACCATACCTCAACTTAACAAATTCATTTATCCTAGAATTGATATTCGCTGTGCTGTAAATGCAGTAGTTTGATGCTGCAAAACATACTACCGTACCATTTTAACCATCATCAACAACCATCTAATTACATGGAGGGAAGAGTAATAGACCGGCAGTAGATCAAGCAGTTTGATAAATTGGTAGGAGTGGTAGCTTGGTATTATGTCGGCGCCATGTCGGTGAAGTGAGTCTTGTTCTCACGTTCATGCATGGCATCTTAACTCGTTTGTTTTCCACTTCCTCCTCGTTGTTCATTCACTCCATCACTCTCCTCCTCCTCTTTGTCTTAATCAATCGTCATGACAACCATCATCATCATCATCTATTAGATCGTGGCAAACGACGCCCAGTTGTCTAATTCCCAAGAGAAGTTGATCCGCGAAACACAGGTACAACTCCTTCGACCTACCACCAACACCACCACCACCATCATCAACATGATCATCTTAGTTTTCATTTGATGATGTTTTTAGAATTTGTACTTACCCCCATCTGCATTTTTTGTGCTTGCTCCATCATGTATACCATAACCTTTTGTCGTTTGTTCTTTGCACTCAGGTGATCTGTTTTTGTATTAACATTATTGTGGTGGTGCTTGAATAATACTCCATTTTTACACCTTTCTTGTATTTTGCTCTGATAAATACTAACACTTAACATAATAAATAATAATAATATTCAGCTTTTATATAGCGCTTAGTACAAATATCTCTAAGTGCTTTACCGATATACTTTAATGGATATAATGGATCTTTTTGATTTAATGAAATTGTGCTTCGATATAATCACCTTTTCTTTTAGTACGGTCTTCTCAAAGAGAACTTTCCAATTCTGACTCGGCACGATGTTATTGTAAATATAGACTAAACGATTTGAAGGTGAAAGAATAGCAATGTGTCGTCATAATACAGAGGAAAAGGAAAGGTGCAAATTTAGTCTAACATGATGAATTGCTTGAAAGACAGTGATGTGAGCTCATGGAAAAAGAAAAGAAGAAAAGATATTCATATGGTTATCATCTTAAATGTATGGATCGGCTTTAGTGATGGGTTCAATCTGTGAAAAGCAAATAATATTATAATATTGATAATGATAATGAAATTATAAAATAAAAAGAAAGAAAGGAAGAAAGAAAATCGACATTGTTGAACTCTCCCCCATCCCCATCAGCTAGGCTTGTCAGAAACACAAATGGTGATGAAATTTGAGACAAGGTCATTAAAAGAGAGGGGAAAAAGTCCTTTATTCAAAACAGGGGTCAATATACATGTATATATACAATACTTGACCATGTAAGGGGAATTAACTATCAGAAATACATGAATTCTGGACAAGGGTCTATGTTTCTACGTGTGTCTGTACAGTATGTGTGTGTGTGAAATGGCATTGGTTATTTTGTAGGTTCGTACCCAGAATGCATCTGTCATGGCGTCATCCTTATAGACAAATGCCGTTGTTACGGGTTGTGATTCTAAAAGGCACTGTGAGTAGGGTACATGTTCATCTCCCCTAGATGCCTTGTTAAGGTCAAGAAGGTGAGATGGCAAGTTGTTAAAAATTGCCCAGGCGCCATGTTTAAAAAGGGAAGGCGACTTGTTAAAACTCGCCAAGTCTGCCTTGTTTATTAAGACAGGAAGGCACCTTGGTAAAACTCGCCTTGCCGCTTCCTCATCTTAAGCAAGGCACCTTGGGGGTTTTAACAACTCGCCTTCTTTCCTGATGAGCCGAGAACAAGGCACCTTGTTCTTACGTAAGAAGGTACTATTTGACCTTTTAAACAAACGTTATGAAAGATAGATTAATCAAATACAGAGTTTGATGTTTCTGAAGAAAACAAAGAAAAAGATTAAAAGAGGATTCAAAAAGTATTAATTGCTCTACAGTGTCTACCCGGTACACTGTATTTATTATATCCACATTTACCAATGATACATGTACATAAAAAACATAAATTACAACAGAGGAAATGAAAGTGGCTTATATATATTCCAAACATATTCAATTAAATTGTGCACAATTAAAATGCATCATAAAAATTCTTAAAGATTTGAATAGTACCTTATATCAGATTGAGATATTCGTTGAATGTTATCTGAAGTTGTTTACGATGCTTACGTAGAGTCCTGCGTTTGTAATGGACCCATGAACCTGTAATATTTGTCTTGTTGTCAAAAACCTTGCCCTTAAAACAAAACACATCCATTTAAATAACAGTATAAGCCAAGCACACTCCAAGGTATATTGTGATGTTTGGATGTAACCTAATTGCAAATCAAGAGTATTTTCTCTGGATCATGAAATCAAAATCTTTTGCAATGTTTATGCTAATGGCCCAGCTAACAGTCCCATCAATGTAAAGCCATGTTATAGCATATTTACTCAAGATGGCTGTGGGCAGGTGTCATGAATGGTTTGAGAAATATTCCATAGTAAACCAATATATGTAGAACGAATGAAATGCATCTTCAATACAGCATGACTAACAATTGAACGAGCATGAACTAGATCAATTAGTTTGATTGACTAGATTAACCCATTGTACATTGCATGAAAAAAGCAGAAAGTAATACATCCCCACCTCCATGACATTGTGTGCTTGGAGCCAGAAGGGCATTAATTGTAGGGTAGTTTTCATTTTGGCTGTAAGCAATTGATATGAGCTGTTTTTAGATTCACTACCAACTCGTCATATACATATTGCTTTTAAAGAAAAAGTAAGTCTGAAAAATAATATATTGTCTTTCAATATGTTGCATTGATGAATTAGGGCTGTTCATCCCTCATTTTGCAATATTCTTTTTACCACATTATATTTATGATATTTTACTCATGTCACATAACAGCTTTAATTTAGCACTTGCTTTGAGATTTTATATCAATATACTAGTAGTTTTCTTACTTTTCATGGTGAACAGGCAACCTAACACATCATGCTAACTACTAAATAGTAATCCTGTCAAAAATAATAATCCCCTATCACTCAAATCACTTGTATTTAACCTTACATTACAGTACATGTATGTTGACTGCAATAAACATTTTAGCCACGTTTTAGTCATCACAGTTCATTGACGATGTAACAAATGTAATATGTTTTTTGAGGTAGTATGAAACAGACCTTGCAAAAAGTTATAAAAAGGAAAATGAATTATTTTCAAAATGTTAATAGTTCTTATAACCTCTGTTCCCATGTTTGCAAGATATAACCTCACATTTATGAAAATAGAGTTTTCAATTTTATTTAATCGCATGTGAAACCACAAAATCACCTTGAGCATTTGATTTCGAGTGGATTTGGCGGCTTAATAATCTCATATATCAATATTATTATTATAATTCTAACAAAGAGATATTAAATTCTAACTATCATCCATATTGCATTCAAACAGTAATTATACCTGCTATTATTGAAAGTATATGCTTGACTGCTTGACATAGTTATTTGTGCATACATGCACATGAACTGTATGCATAATGTAAACGACCAAGAACAAACTAACTACCGGTAGTTCTATTTGTTTCCAGATGTAGTGAGTGCTTTGGAGGTTTTGCATCAGCTCCGACTAATGTTTCCTTTTGAGTGTGTGTGTTTGAACATAACATCCAGCTTATTCGCCTGTTTGCTTGTCTGCATGCCCATTCCATTTTCAATTCAATGATTTCTAATAACATGTAAATCTCTCTTAATTAGATTTTTAAAAATAAGTACCATTATGATTAATGTATACGATAGACTTGTCAAAGTGAGTATTGCAATTGAAAGTTTAAGTGTTAACCTCTAGTACAACAATTGAATTGTTACCCCCAAAAAGCTAGGAATTTTGGACATTATGTCAGTGAACAGCACCCCAAAATAGAAAAATGGAAAATAGTAGATTTCAGAAGATGGGAAAGACAAAACTAATAAGAAAGTTCAGAAGATAATTATATCCCTAAATCATCAAATCACTGAAGAATTGCAGTATATTTAGGGGACCCCTTCATGATTTTGCATTACAATAGTTTTACAGGTCCCAGAACCGGCCATCATACTTCTCATATAAATGTAGATTACAGTTTTTGTTTAAACCCCAAGGGCCAAAATATTCAGCTAAATCTGTATTGGGTAAATAAATGATTGCCTTCAGCTGTTTGTCCATTTAAGTGAGGAAATGTTTAGATCGGTCCGTCAGTATCAATTTACTGAATTATTAATTTCTGTTTTTCTATCCTAAAAGGGCCACAATGTTTTGCTTGGTCAGCATTAGATCAATGGACAATAAAATCATTTGTTTCTGCTATTTTTTGTTTTACCCCAAAAGGGCCAGAACATACAGCCTGGTCAGTTCTCCGTGGGGTCAAAGGGCATCGTCCAGCGTGACCACCAGAACGACGCCCTCGTCTACACCGTGTACTCGCCGAACCCGTTCTGCAGCATGACAGAAAAGGATATCCTGGAGTACAAGAGAGAAATCGCTGAGAAAACTGGACAAGGTAAAAAAAATCTGCGAGAATAAATTTTTATTTTCTATTTAAAATATATATATATATATATGTATATATACATTTTTTAATTTTTTTTTTTTTTAAATATCGCCCTTGTTTGAGCTTGCACTTTGGAAGTGCCCTAATTTGACAAATTATAATGACAGCCTGTCTAACACCCTTTCCCATTTGTTTTGTTGCTAGATGTACAAGAGATTGAGCTGATCTTCCAGGCCCCAGAGGAAGAGGACAACAAGCTGGTAGACGCCCAGGGTGAAGGCAAGACCATCACAACTACCAAGATCTCTACTACAGTCACAATGGCAGGAGGTGAGTGCATGGCAGAAAGGCGTTCTGCTCTGCGGTCCCACTTCAACCTATGGGGACATTTCTCTCGTCCTGTTCCCCATTAGGGTGGCCCAACACCTGCTCCAGGGATAATTGTACTGGGCTTTATATCGTCAATGTTTGTTTTTTCATAACTCAAGAATGAAAGGTGGACTGGTTGGATTAGGGCCTTTGTTGAACTTTCTCCAGAAACAGGAGAAATCCATTTTTCACTTAATCAATTAAAAAAATTGGTAAGGGTATGAATAATTTAGTTCTTAACTGTTCGTGACCAGTCTCTTTCACATCATAAAACACCCATACCTCCCATACCTTGCTTAGTATAAAATAAATGAAATGATATTAAAATAGTGGACTGGTTGGATTAGGGCCTTTGTTGAATACTTTTAGATATAAGCTTTATTATGTCACATTCTCAAGAAACATGAATCATCGACGTACATATTTTCTTAGTAACATATTTTATCATGTGCTTGTATATTTTCAGAGGGTGACACTGCCACAGTTCACAAGACAAGAGTGACAGAGAAAACAACCATCAACGGAAGGGACGAAAACGAGGACGATGAAAGGGAGCCCTCACCTGGTGTTGACAGCACAGGATCATCACCGACGAAGGACCCTATGTCGCCCTCTAAGAAGTCGAAAAAGAAATTCCGCACGCCATCGTTCTTGAAAAAGAAAGAGAAGAAGGAGAAGAAGGGAGAATAGCGCCCTTTCTCTCGCACTTTTGAGTCATGCAATGCGAAAGTGATAATTGCCGTGTTCTAGAAAAAATTTTCATCATCCAATGCAAAGATATCTGTAGGGATAATTTGTAAGTAAACCAGGTATGTGGCGGCATGTATGTTAGAACTCGGACATACCATGGAATATATGTAAATTGATGAGTTGGTTATGAAAAGAATCAAGATACGCGATGTGTATGATATCTATAAAGTGTATGCAACGACTCAAAATGACAAAGCTCTTAAGTCTCTCGGAGGCGTCAGAAGGGCAGTGTTCAACGCTGTGTACCTAATATTAAAAAAAGGTAGTTGATAGAGTTCGATCCTTTGCATTTTCTTAGCCACTCTAGTGTAAATGAATATAAGATGAAGAGGTGATATAACGGATGTAAGGAATGCTCAAGTCTCGTTTCTCAATCAAAAAGTACTGATCTCTTTGTTATAATTGTGTGATGATTGGTTTTTTAATCAGGCTCTTCATAAACCTGTAGTTATTGTACATCATGCCTGGTCTTGTTTGGAAATATTTCATGTTCTTATTCGTAGAGGAGGATTTCTTATTGCCTTGACTGTTCTTTTCCAACAAGTGAAATGCCTCTAGGCGATTTCTGGTGTAATCCATGGAAAATAAGCTGGAACGGCGCATTTTATCTCCAAATTGAAATTTGTACGATCTATTTCATGCTGCATCGAATCAAAGCGTTCAGTAATAAGCTCCGCATTCTTGCTGTCATCCAATGACGACTCTTAGAAACGGCGTACGATCAGATGTTCTGAAATAAATACATTCGTACCCAATTTCTTTTTTTCCATGGATTTTCTGTAGCTTGAAATCGCCTAGAGGTACGTTATTTTCATTAGATGAGCATTTTCATTGATATAATCATGTTTATTGCCAAAAGTACTTGTAAGTAGGTTTTTTTTTTCCTTTGCTATATATACTGATTATAATGCTAAATGACTTATTCTTATGTAGTATATGAAATATGTGTATTGTGTATAAAAGTAAAATGAAAAAGGTAGCATGCATGATAGCATTTTAGTGGTTTAGAGCTATTCGTAATCATCAATTTTCCATCAAATCACCCATAATTAAACAAACAAAAAAAGAAAATTGTAGCATGCTAGCCGAACAGTCGTGTAAAATAATGCACTGTGCCCTGTCAACAGTGAGCATATAATTGTTGCGAAAGCGCTGTGTATAAAATTGTATAATCGATGATGCCATTGCGATTGTTATTTAAAAGCAAACATGGAGTCTTTTAGTAAAGTGGTTCCCTTAGAACGACAGGGACCTGGGGACAAGTTTGTTGTGTAAAAATTCTTCTTCTGTCGTTCCGGTGATTCCTACGATTCGAGTAAACGGTGTATTCATGTGTATTCATGTGTATTCAAACCTGTGGGTGGACATGACGTTCTTTACTGCGTGGTAAAACTGAAGATTCATTTTTTTTTATATTTGCTGAAATGTTGAAGTGTAGTTATATGTAGTGTATAATATAGAGAGAGTGGACAAAAAATGTGATTTCACACAATCAGTGAAATGTTTAACCTTTTAAATAATGGCTATTAAAAGAATCATTCCCTTTTTGATGATGGGACTGACACGATATTACAACATTTGATGTCTTACGTGTGTAAAGGTCGTGATGGGGGGAGACAGCGTTCATCCAATTTGAGTTACCCCGGACTGAGGTTGTTATGTAAATTATGAAAGCAGGACATGAATTTGAAGGCATGGGACTGGAATATCCAAAAATGGATAAGGTTTGTGTGTGGTGTGCAATAGGCCCAGTCAGAAAGCAGAAAAATTAATTGTACAAAACGAGTCTACTCACAAGATTTCTTTTTTGGGAGCTTGCTGTGGAAGTTGGTGGAGGTTAAATGCCATTTTGTCGATTGTACCTGTACATGCTTACTGTGCAACGGTTCTCTGTAAATATGAGCTGTGTTTAAGAACAATGAGGAAAATAATTTTTACAAAGGTTTTTGGAGGACTTTTTTTGTGACATCATTCTGTTGTTTTTTTTCTGTCTGGATTGTCTTTCGTTTGCCCGACGATGGTTTTCGTTCTTTGCAAATCTTCCCGCTCCATCATCCTGTGGTTATAATTCATGCAAAGCGTAGAGCTGATTGAATAGGGAGGGAGATCTATCTATTAGAGCATGGACAGTTCAGACAACGGTTGAGCAAGGTATAGAGAGGGAGATCAAGTTCTTGATATGTATACGGTTATTGGCAAGATACACAAGGTGCCCTGTTTCGTAAAACTGACAGCAATAAGTCAGAAAAAATGGGAAAAAAGCTCTAGAAATGATTGAATGTGATCAGCTCTGAGCAGATTTGTTGCCCAATTCTAGTGGTTGTTAGCAAGTTTTATGAAACCAGGCCCAGGTTTACTTACGATCTTAACCGTGTGATCTTGTGTAACAGACATATACATTGTGATATGGCAGGCTAAGTTAGGGCAAGTGCGTAGGCTGGGTTGCATGTGTGCCTTGGTAGTACTAGCTGTACATCTGGATAAAGTCGCACTAAACCTGCCTTGTGAGATGGCAAAAGGGGGATGTACAAGTCAGCAGATTTGTGAGCTCGCTGTACGTTGTATAGTACTTGTAAATTATCTGATAGGAGTGAATACATCAATGTACAGAGTTGAATGCTAACTTGTTTTTACCATAATTATACCTCGGTAACGCCATCATACCAACTTCAAAACCAACCAATCCTTGACCATTTATTGTCATGTAAATTCTTGTTCGGTGAGTTGTCGGTCTGGCGTTAGTCTTTGTGGTGTGACTGAGGTTTTAATTGATGCGTGGCAAAGCGGATGGATGATAATAGAAGGTTTAGTGCGACTTTTAAGAGCAAGCACAGTCGAAGTAGAGAGAAAGAGCGAGGTCTAACTAAAAGAGTGTCGATCATGTGATCATCACATGGTCTACATGCCTATATCACGTGCACAGCATGTTGTCGTCATGTGGTGTCCATGCAACCAAGATACCAGATGAGAAGAAAAAAAGAGAGGCAAAAATTAACTTCCACGTTTTAATCTTATCTGTGCAGGATGATTGAACAGTTTGGGGGCATTAAGAAGATTTAAAAAAAGATGAAAATTATATTTTTTATTTCTCAGACTATGGATGTGAAAGACGTGTAAAGAAGCCTTGCTTTATTGAAATGTTATTGATTTAAATTCGTCGAGGATCCAATTCTGAAGATTTGTAGTGTTAGACGTAGACTGTAGAAAACGAGACGCATTTAGACAGTAGCATGCATAAACTGCCAGCCGTTAAGAGTTGAAAAGATTGTTGGGATGGAGCGCTATGATATTCTTGTATTTAAAACTAAGGAAGAGAAATTGGCAAAACGGGAAAATGATTGTTTGGTTCTCTTTGTCGGTTACTGTGATTTGTATTCAAATAGGAATTATATGCATTGTTGATGTTGCTAAGATAATTCAGTGTACTGTAATTATTACGTATTCAGTGGATTTGGATTTTAAACAATTACTATTCATATTTAAAATGACTACCGTGTTCTAAAAAATCTACTTATAGGATCGTATCAAATTTAAATCAACTTTATAGTACTTGTGTATTTTTCTGTTCTCCTACGGTGCGTTGACTATTCATGTATTCCTATTACCTTTTTTGGATGATAAAGTAATCTCTCCTTACCCTATGATTTTAAAGTAGAGGCTTTTTTCGTATATGTACACACAATTAGCTTAATAGTTTAGTATATGTATTTGGTCAGAAATCTTTCTTTAGGCAATATTCAATGAAATATAAGTAGCTGCATTTATCTGTATATTATCACACTATGAAACACACAGCAACGTTGCAACCCATTTTCATTTTGAAACATAGATAGATAGTTTACATGTATGCAGTAGACGTGGAGAAGGGGGAAAATTTTCGGTCTGCATTTTTTTATACCTGTTTTAAATTGATCATTTTGAGGAGACGCATCCAAGTCATTTCTCAAAATAAATCTGCTACGTTTTTTTATGATCTTCAAAGCACATTTGTGGTCATGTTATGTACTTCACTTTTACCTTGTACAAACATTGATTTGATAATTTTACATTCATCGATGTAGTGATTTACAAAATGAGAATAAGATATTGGACAATTATGTATCCATGTTATCGTCAGTGTTGCCAATGTAGGGTACAAGATAGATAACTGCTGTATATTTAAATCAATTTCATTCTTTCGTTTCTTGTAATGAGGCCAATTTCTTTTTTAATTTTTACTTTTGCTTCCTCTTAGAGTCATATTTTGTAAACTATTTCGTAGAATGAATTCATTTACGGCATTAAAATGCCCATATGTTAAACAACGTGGACAGTACTAGGTACTAAGTCACTGTTTATTATTTTGTTTTTGTATCGTTGCGTCTATTCATCGTTGAAGCCTTAGGAAACCATTTTTCTTTACTCTTTTCTCTTTTTGCTCGGCTTTTCAAGGTTTCTACTCCAATCATGATATATCGCTTTAGTCTTGGACTAAGTCCGATTGGAATTGAACTGTTATGTATCATTACAGCAGAATGCCATAATTTCATTTATGCAAATGGACAATTAGAATAACACTGCAATGTTCTAGAGGAGAACTATTCTAGATATGCTGGCTATGGAATCCTATTTTCTACTTTTCATTGATCATACATTTGGTTCGAGGATGAATAAGATATTTCTAATCATTTTGTAGTCGTATGTTTGTCTGGTAATGCTTCTTTTTGCCAATAACAAACCAAATACAAGATGGAGGTGCGTTTAACTGCAATGGCTTTGGGGATTTCTTTATAGTTTGTATTATTTAACCAAGTTACTTCAGGCTTTAGAAATAGGATGAAGACATGTATGTCTGTATACTGCGATGTGTACATGTATGTATGTAAGTGTCTCTCACAAGTATGTACATGGTCATCCATTTTTTTGAAAATGAAAGACCTTGTATCAAAACATGCGTCAGACGGCATGATGAAGAGGACATGTATATACGTAGGGATGACTGAAAGTAGGCGTTGATTAGACATCCAAAAGTAGAAGTTAACATTTTCAAGCCAAAAACGGTTATCAGAACATTCGGGTTAATTTTATTTACATTCTTCATAATTTTCATGTATTTCCTGCTGCTTCTAACTAAGGTGCCCATGTGTTGTTAAGTCACTTCATCAACTAATTATTAAAAGTCTGCACTAGATTATTTCAAGCCAGAAATTCGACCTCAAGTGATCACACGTTGACAATTGCCTCCCATTGTACATTATTTAACAAGACCAATATGTAAGTTTTCCCTGTTTCTGGGACTAATCCGAAAAATACAAGTATCGATATCTCATTCAAGATGTTTGAAGATCAGTATAGAAAAGAAATCACACCACTGCACAAATGGTCTCCCATCAGTTTTCCTTTTACAAAACATGGATTGAAATTTCAGAAGACAAACGAAAGAAAAAAGATTTGATTGTGCCAGTGCTTGTCTTTGAAGGTATTGCATTCCAGTGTAACTTACCAGTGTTTTTTGACGTTTTGAATACTAATTTAAATACAATTCCTCTCTGTTAAATACAGTTGCACTGATAAAGAACTCCTTATGGTTATGAAATATAGTTCCATTTAATTTCACCTATCTAGCCTCTACTTTAGTGAGTGCGTGTCCTTCTTCGTGCATCTCTCACACACTATTTTCCCTCTGGAATTGCCATATAGTGAGTTATAAGTAGTAGTCTGTGAAAAAAGGGGGATTCCCCTCTTGCTTATATAGTTGCAATATTGTGTCTTCGTGTGATGATGGAAAATAAAAAAAAAATAATAAAAAAACAATTTCGTTCCTGAAATGTCTCATTGAACTTCTCTTTTTATCTTTGTTTGTGTGATTTTGATGGAGTGCGGGTTTCAGTGAAGGTTGTTTAGAATTTAACAATGTTAAATCTGAGATGCACGGCCCTATGTGTTATTAGTGTCTGATATGGTGTAATATTGAAGCTCTAACAAAAACTGCGCTTCAAAATGATCAAGAAGTGTCTCAAAAAGTGACCAGTTTTACCATACTTGTTTCTCCCAATAGACTGTAGTGTTATGAAAGCAGTTAGGCAAACACAAAATTTGGTTTCGATTTCCAATCATAAATATCTTGATAATCAGATAGGCGATCGGCTTGTAAAAGTCATGGGGTTCCTGACTGACCTAAAGGTTTATAATTAATATGCAGCATGAGCTTAATCCAGGATTTTGTTTCAAAATCTGAGACAAAGTTACCGGATCCCTTTAAGATTTTGTAGGTTTACATTTGTGCCATGAAATTTTTTGCAATATACCGTAGACATTGAGTGAGATACGAGATTGATTCATGGTTAAACTTGAAAAATAATAAATTCATCAGGCATGTATTTAAAATCATCTATCTTGGTCTCTTAATCAAATCCATACTCATCACACACACTGACTCTGCACATTATATTTCTACAAATTCACTGAAAGAAAGGAAGCTGCACAATACAGATTTGTAATAAATACATATATTATGTTAAACGCAACATATAAACAACATGGGTAGATATACAACAGAAAACATATGCTTAATTTTACTGGCACATACTGCAGTATTCCAATCACTAGAATCAAATCATGTTCAGATTTCATGTCCACCTCAAGATGATAGGTTATACTGTTATCCTAATATTGCAAAATAAAAACAAACAGCATCCTCCCTAAATAACAATCAATTTCAAATCAAACAGTATTTAATAAGTTCTGAAGGGAAAATGGGACAGATCGTCAGAAAAAACAACTACAGGTATTATTACTGGTGATGATGATTACACATTATGTAAAAAAGAAATGACAAAAAATTCATTGTGCAGGGTTCAACACTTCGCTGCCTGTGACTGGCATAAATAAGGCTACCGGTAATAGAACTTTCAAATTTATGAGAATATCTTTCTCCAGGGAACTGGCAACAAGGTATTCCATTAACCTGTTATAAATGAATGAACTACAATACTTGGAAACTAGTCTGCATACATTACATGTTGCTATGTCGGGCAATCCTTTGACAAGGTTATATATTGTCAAGAACCTTTTTTTAAAGAGATTGCATAATATTTGAATATGTTAGTACACCACTCCATTTCGCAAAAACAGGGTTCATTCTATGAATTCATACTCGATAAGCTATAAGTAGGGGGACGTATAAAGGACATTTTGTACTTCGTTTGAGGCAAACAAAGAGGGTACCAATCACAAAAGTCCACAAATAGGGGGTCATCTTCGACTCTGCTAATGGTCATAAGACAAGAATCATATCCCATGATACTGCCAAATTGAATTTGGCTGTTAGTTCCAAACCCCACTGGAATATATCTTCGGAATGTGAGGATATCATTTCCTTAGATGCCATCAGGTAATAAATTTCCAAACAATTCATTTATACTCATTTAATCTGTTGAATAGCTTCAGAAAAAACAGCCTTTTGAATAAATCAGTAGTAGTAAAGTCTTGTGCTAAAATATTCTACCCCTACTCACTAGTACTGTTTTTCACTTTTTTCTACGCACAGCCGCAAACAGTATATAGCTAAGCTATATCTACACATTGGAACATTTGTTATTTTAAATACCAAAGCAATAGAATGTCCTTTAATTTCATTTTTCATTCATAACACAATATACATGTAGTGAAACGTGATTTGTGAATGAAAAAGACCAACATGTACATACATCAACAGCATGTTGTAAGCAGTGGAATTGTTTTTTAGTCCATAAGATATTGCATGAATACAAATTTGATGGGATGAATGTTTAATAAATGTACAAATATCGGTCAATAACCACTGATTTTACTCCATAATTCTTGTTCGTGTCAGTTTGCACCCGACGTGACTGAGTCTCGACCACGTGCTGGTCAGTCTGGAAGTAAATTTCTACATGACAGAGACAATGGCTTTGACTTGGACTATACCGAGTAACGCCAGGGAGATTTTGAGACCAAAGAGATTACGCAGAAAGGCAAAATTGCCCAGATTGCAGCAAAGTTTGCAGTGCCTTAGGCGACCACTTCATGGAGAGATTTCTAACGCAATCAGCTACATGACGGGGCAGAAAATAGAGGAAAAATCCTTAGATGAAGCAGCTGAAAAGTATCCCTGCCCCACAAAAAACAGCGACTCACTAAATGTACCCAAAGTAAACACCACCATTTGGGAACGCATGTCTACATCCTTCAGAACAAGGGATTTTAAGTTGCAATATGAGCAAAAGTCGCTCACTAAGGGAATTTGTGCGTTCGAAAATACACTAGATCCAGCCATGATGACGGATCGACAGCAGGATGCTTCGACACAGCTTTGTGAAGCAAACTTCAGTTTGAATTCTCTTAGGAAGGATTTCATGAAGACCGAGGTACACATTGGCTTACGTCAATTTTGCAAGCCCTCAAACAAAGTAAACGAGCTTCTCTTCGTAGAAAATCTTGGGAAGCAAGTTAAAGATCTGCAGGACCAGCTAAAAGTAAAGGCCATCAGCATACTCAACAGTATTGCCCGTACAAGAGATACAATGAAGATGCTAGACACAAAATGAAACAGGCAGGCTGGTCAACCTCACAGGCGCATGTCATGCCTGGATCTTTGGGCGCCCTTTTGTAGGGCACAAGTTGTGGATGGGAAACGCATTCAAACAGACCTCCCATCCTCACACATACACCCCAACAGCAGCAGAAGGCAAGCCGGCAAAAGAGAGGAAGCACTTTCAACCCTATCGACAAAATCAGGGGAGGAAATAGGAAGTCATCATAGTCTTCTAGCCCAAGGTGCCGAAGAGGTAAGTGCCTCAAAATCTTCTTAGCTTTCTAATATGGTCGGGGGTCGACTGAGGCCATTCTATCTCAACTGGGCAAATTTTTGCTGAATACAGTGAAAGGTTATACAATTGAATTTGATCAAGATAAATTCACGTCTTCCCTATTATTCATAAAATAACGATCAAACTTTAAACATAAGTTCTCCTTTAATCTTTCTATCAATTTCAGTTCATTATAAACCCATCAAATTGATAATTAAAAATACTGATGATAGTCACCTTTGTGCCGAAATCATTCAAGGAATATCTTTTCCCCCAGATATCCTCTTCCCACACCGGGGTTAAGAGAGACGCCTAAGAAGGAAATGCCTAGTATAACCATGAATTTATTCATGATCAAACCTGCTTTATGTACATAATTGCATGAAATAATATCAAGGTGATTAATTAAAAAAAATCATAATCTGAGGAATGTCTCAAAGTTCAGGACGGATAAAACAAATCATTTTTCAATCATTTATATGCTTAGCCAAAGATTATTCACTCGACAGATAACATGGCATGATGCGACTTTGTCAGGTGCAGGTGAACAATTCTCAAAGTTTAAAAGGAATTGCACACTGAAATTAACTCAGATATCAAGGTGATAATAACCTCTTTTAAAAGTTTCAATTGACATATTTGCTAAGAACAACTTAAATCACAATGTGACCCAATATTCAGTACAAGTTATAATAGGGTCAGTATTGTTTAAACCACTATTCTTCAATATCTAGTTTGTGGCAGGTTCCAATGATAGCAGTGAAAAGGTAAATCACATTTTTCACAAGAGCATGGAGCCTAGCTTGGACAGAAACACCACCAAAACTTTGATCTTTGAAACAAGAATGCTGACATTTTCATATTTATTTTGCACTTGGAAATACTCATACCGGTAATTAGCAAAATTTGCCACATTACATCACGATGTCTATATTTTTTTATCACAATTTGTTAGCACAGCTAATGCACAATAAATGTACCGGTAAGGTAAACTAACAATTATCATAATTATTATCTTACAGCTCACCACCTTTCAATAAAAAGTAAATTCTTTACTCTTAAAACCTGGTAATGTTTTCAATTCAATATCTTTGACATTCATGATAGCACTATGAGACACATGAATATGTTGCTGCGCTAAAGATCCCATCAACACTATCACATTCTACCACGTATGCATGATTGTGTTTATTAACGCCTTCTTCTGACTTGTAATACCCTAGTAACACCAATGAGACCAATTCGAGACTGACAACAGACTGCAGAAAAAAATGATATTACCCCTCGCGGCTAAGAATTTGTCGGTTCGACAATATGATTGAAGTATCATCATCGATAGCAATCTGTCAAATATCAGGTTTAGAAACCCTATTAAATTTCTCCAACAAACGTGTCTCCAAGTGCTACAATCTTGGAACAAATGTTTCATTTCTCTGTAGCCGACTACTCCACATTCTCCAATGATACATGTAAGTATCTGAGCTCTTCCTTTCGGCTTCTTTACATAAAGACAATCTTACACGACTCTGATCATTCAGTCGTCACGTCACTTTACGAGTCCTAATCACAAAGCCTTTTTTCAATGACATATAACAAAAATCAGTGACAAATCTGCTGACAACCAATCAGAAGCAAGGATTTCAGTAGCTTATAACAAAAACTTTCATTAGTCACTGATGACATGTTTTGTGAAACGCCCCCCAGTTCTTCAATATTCAGCAGAGGCATCAGTAAGGCATATTTATTCAAGAAACTGTGCACAGGTTCAATCAACATAGAGACTAGAGGTGGCATGGGGTCACCCCCCCAAAAAAAGAATCAAAATACATATATGAAACTGTAAGATATCTTTGACTGAACAATTTTGTTATGTCTTTGATAGTAATCACAGCTCTATGAGTACACAAGCATCACACATATGTACGTGCACTACACTTTCTTTAAATTTAATAATTCTTTTGTCTCATAACTGCCACCATCATCATCTACACATATGTAGATAAAGTCCGCTGAGTATTAGGTGTTGGAATGGTTCAGTGGTTTTGAATAGAGGTCTTGAAACTGGAGAGTCCCAGGTTCAAATCCAAATAAGTGTGGCAGTGTCCATAGATTGGTCCCTGAACTAGGACTTGGATCAATTTGTCCTTAGATGATTTATACCTACAAGAATACACATCCAAACCTGCTTTTAAAGCTAATACTTGAATACAAATCTCAATCTGAACACTCATCACCTATCTGCGAATCCCCAAGATCTTGTAGGTCTCCAGAACTGGAAGAATTCTACAAAAGAAGAAGAAGACTTGAATACAACTACATGTACCACCTATCTCTGAAGGCCATCTTTCTTGTTCCCCTTGAACAGTGTTATTTATAAAACGCTGTATCTTATGAATTCTGTGTTTCAGGTATAATAAAGACCACCTTTCTTTAACCACAAACACAACTTTTCCTGTATCATTTGAGTGGTATTTATATACAGACTTGACTGAGCTACCGTTTCTTTGGCTCTAAAGTAAAAATAAAGAACAATCAATCAATGTTTGGCATCAAAAAATTCATGTTGTCATGGTTCTGTACTCTAGCCATGGCCATACATGTAGACAGCACAGATTTCAGCCAGTTTTCTAAAAGGCAACACACTGGTTGCCTTGCTTGAGCTTGTGCTAATCGCAATCATCATTGTCTTTCAAAGGCTTCTCTCATATCCTCGGAAATAAAAAAACTTTGGCAATGTGACACACGAATCAAAAGCTCTCATGATTGCGGCAGTCCATACAAATCGTCTTTCAATTTCTTTGGGTTTTTGCTCCTCCCCCGCTCAGCCTTGTTGGTCCTCCAGTTCATGCACACCAGCGAAGTCCATGATAGTCTTTTCTTTCCCTGGTGACGAGGCGGCCCCTGACCTCGGTGACATGTCGCCCCCTCTTGATGACCTCTCTGCAAGGTAGATTTCAAGGTTGCGCATCATGGTCCGAGGATTCTTCTTGCAGTTGGCCTCCAATTCTGAAAAGGGAAAGAGGATATTTTTACATTGTTTACAGAAATTCTTGTTACAAAGTATCCATGATTAGATAAAATATTCAGGTTCACTTCTTTATCAACTTCATTCATCTCAGGAAACCCTTTTGGACAAAAAACCCTTTCATGAAAATGGCACTTCAAACAACATCCAGATCACAATATAGTACATAAAAACAATATGATATGAGGTACAAATTGAAAAATTACTAAACTTGACTACAAAAGTCAAATAATAACAAAAAATACATTACAAAGTGACAAACAAATTATTAGTTTTGTATTATATAGATAGAGAAAATGCATTTTTTTTTTGCTCAAGGCCGAACTAATAAAACTCTCTGCTTATCATTCCTACTTGTGTATAAACTTTGCGTACTTCTAGATATACCATTTAATTTTCATTTCATCCACTGATCTATTTGCTACATTCAAAGTATAGAAATGAACAAAGAAAATAAGAAATACCACCAACTATTGCCCAAGGAAAACCAGATGGTTATTAGTAGTAGTTCCTGTCAAGTAAAGGTTCTCCTCACTACAAAGTAGTTTACAAACCACTTTTTTTTTTAAAGATCAAAAGAGTGGACATATGTGCGTTTGAATTTACCTTTGATTACAAAGCCTGAATCGTGGATTGTTTTTCTCTGCTGTTTCCACGTCTGGTAGAGTTGTAAAAAGATGCTGGCGTAAAAATCATTGATGACACCAAAGACTTGCTTCCGTCTATTGCATTCTCTGTGGAAATAGAAAGACAAACACACGATCTTTATCATCATCATTATCATCATTTATTAAAGTCTGCATTTTCCCTCTTATGAGGGGTTACTGACTTCTCGCGCCATGATTACACTCACTCCCTACACTTTTTATCTCAGACATCCTCCTCATTTAGACCAACCTTACTGCATTCTTTCTTCACCACATCTTTCCATGAAATCTTTGGTCTCCATTTCCCATTTCAGGTTTATCACCTTTCCTTCTCAACAAATTGATTTTTAAATTTGCAAAGCATTACTTGAAATCGTTAGCTTGGTCAAACATGGCATTAAATTAGGTATTAATCCCTACCAGATTCATGGACTATACTGTGGTGAGAGGAGAACAAATATAAAATGAGCTTGTTCTCGGGATAAAAGCATGGATCTGAAACCTCAAACCCTTAACATTTTGTAGCTAATTTTAGAGAAATAAAAAAATGCATAAACCTAACATGGATAAGATCGCAAAATTATCCCACCTCATTCTTATATGACTGGACCATTTTGATTGACATTTAGCATGCACTTCCAATAGAGCTTTATAACATGGACTATCAAGCCTATAATAGAATGTTGGATAAAATAAAAGGGGGAAAAACACCAAAGCTTCAGCACCAAATGGATGACTAGCCCTTTAAAGGGATTGGGTATCTTTGCCTCAGATTCTAAACAAAATCCCGGATTTAGCTCATGCTGCAATCATAATTATAAACCTTTAGGTTAGTCAGGAATCCCATGACTTTTACAAGCGGATCGCCTGTCTGATTATCATGATATTTATGATTGGAACTTGAAATGTCAAAAATCGTTTTCTAACACTACATTCTATTGGGGGAAAATGGGTATGGTCAAACCGGTCACTCAAAGATTTTTACTTTTTTGAGGCACTTCATTATCATTTTTTAGGGCTTCAATATTACACCATATCACAGACACTGATAAACAGTAGGGCCATGCATCTCAGTTTTGTTGAACTGGAAACAATGCCTTAAAGACAGAAGAAAGTAAACCATACCTTGATAGATGTTCCTCTCGTAATGCCTGCAACGCTATCCTTGTCATGTTGATCGCCATCACACAGAAGGGAAAATTCTATCAAACACAAATGAAGAGATCAAGTTGTCAGCTTACACAATTACCGGTACAGAGAAACATGCTCTTGATTCACAGCAAACAATCTATATGGATAAGGAGGGCAGTTGATACTTCTGATCCGAATAATTACTTATACAGTCAAACCTGCTTTAATAGCAACCACCTGTATAGAAAGACCACCTGTCTACAAAGAATGCGTTTTTTGTTTCCCTTGAAAATGGTTTCTCATTGAAACATGTATTAAAGGAACCTGTACATAACGACCACCTGCCTATAAAGACCACTTTTCTTCACTCCCTTGGCTGGTCTTTATAGACAGGTTTCATTGTACAACCATGAATTCCACACAAAGAGCACTTACATGTACATACAGTCTTGCCACCGTAGTTCACTTGCATTGCCATAGCCTATGTCAATGTGCAGCATAATTCTACATGCAGCAGCAAGACATCTATATACTACATGTACATACACACTGTACCCTTCCCAACTCTGAAACTAACATAAAGAGAAGGCGCTATGTCTCAGTGGTAGAGCAGTGGTCTTGTAAAACGGGAGGTCCCGGGTTCGGAACTAAGTCAATGTGCTTGTGCCCTTTGGTAAGGCATTAATCCTCATTATCAAGTCCTTAAGCCATTGGTCCCATGGTTCCTTACTTACAAGCATACAGTGCTTTCTTAGCAGTCAGGTAAAACAAACCATCAAATTATCAACCTGATCCCTAACCCTAACTCTAAACCTGACCATATATCGTTGACGAAATAGGGCCCGAAGTATGTGCTGGTTCACTGGCACCACCCTGCTTCTTACCTGTGTTTCGTGCTGGGAGAGCTTGTAGATTTCTTTGGCAAGAGGAAACTTCTGAGAGTCCATGAGAAAGTCCAGCAAGGTCAGAAGTCCTAGGAACCCACATGCCCTCAGATCGGTCGATGGATCCGTTCCTACGTTCATACAAATACAAGAATACAAGAATAAGAATATTGCATATTCATATTTGACACATTCTCTTTTTTTTTTCTTCCCCACCAAAGAAGATTAATAAGCTTGGGATAACAAAATAAGTGAAGTCATTAAAAAAAAAAACAGTCTAAAAGAGAAGCACTCACACAATCATTAATTGCACAAAAATGTTATCATACAATTAAAATTAAATTAAATCTAATTAAAATTTTGGATACACATGTACATCTTTGCTCTCATATATTTAAAGATTTTTAATTGGTTAATCATGTGTGTATCCAAGTGCAATACTAGGCATTATTTTGATGATTCTTTCATGCATAAAAAAGGTGCCTTTTGGAGGAGCTATGGGCTCTTTCTGGGCCCAAAACACATCAATAATAGTTTTACTGATCTGTTTTGGAGATGACCACTTTCTTACCTTGAAAGCCTATCTATTCCCAATGAGATCCAAACCTCTTTCTGGACCCAAACATAACATCATGAAAGCCTATGTGTTCCCAATGAGATCCAAACCTCCTTCTGGACCCAAACATAACATCATGAAAGCCTATGTGTTCCCAATGAGATCCAAACCTCTTTCTGGACCCAAACATAACATCATGAAAGCCTATGTGTTCCCAATGAGATCCAAACCTCCTTCTGGACCCAAACATAACAATATAGTTTGACTGATCTGCTTTTGGACCATTTTCTTATCTTGAAAGCCTATCTGTTCCCAATGAGATCCAAACCTCTTTCTGGACCCACACATAACAACAGAATTTTACTGATCTTTTTGGGGATGGACCCTTTTCTTAAATTTAAAGCCTATCTGTTCCCAATGAGATCCAAACCTCTTTCTGGACCCAAACATGACTGGACCCTTTTCTTACCTTGAAAGCCTATCTATTCCTAATGAGGTCCAAACCTCTTCCTGGACCCAATCATGACTGGACCCTTTTCTTACCTTGAAAGCCTATCTGTTCCCAATGAGATCCAAACCTCTTCCTGGACCCAATCATGACTGGACCCTTTTCTTACCTTGAAAGCCTATCTGTTCCCAATGAGATCCAAACCTCTTTCTGGAACCAATCATGACTGGACCCTTTTCTTACCTTGAAAGCCTATCTGTTCCCAGATAAACCTCCGAACCTCTTTCTGGACCCAAACACAACAATAAAGTTTAACTGATCTATTATGGAGATGAACCCTTTTCTCACCTTGAAAGCCGATCTGTTCCCAATGAGATCCAAACCTAGGACAATCTATCGCGCTGCCTGTCAGCTGCTTGTAGACCGTCTGGAGAACACGCTTATGAATCAGCTCATCATCATCAAAGGGATCTGATCAACAAACAAACAAACAAAAAACAAGCTGTGAAATCATAAACTAAGTGAGTTCTTTATGATTGCCAATGTTGTGGCAAGAAACACAAATCGGACAAACTCCATGTTCACTAGCAAAGACCAAATTCCCGCTATCTAGTAGACCCTTGTTCATCTTAGGTGGTACCAGGACCAGATTCTTTAGTATCAAATGTGCTCTGGTCCCTAGACCTGGCCCACTTACAAAGTGATAAGGTCTCTGTCATAGCTGAAATGCCAATAAGTACACACCAAGCAACACATACAAGGTTCCTCTTATCATGTAGACCTTTCTTCATTTTAGGAGGTACCAAGACCATTGCTCGAGTTTCTAGACCAGGCCCACTTAGAAAGTTCTGGGCCCTCTCTGTTATAACCAATAAGCTACTCAGTACTTACACTGTGCAATAGCAAAGACCAAGTTCCTCTCATCCAGTAGACCTTTGTTCATCTTTGGTGGTCCCAGGACTAGATGTTTGAGGGCGGCAAACCCTGTCCTCTGAACGCAAGGCTTGATCTTACTCTGTCAAAAGAAAACAGTATATTCAACATTAACATACCATACTACAGTCAAACATGTGTTAATGGCCACCTCTCTATAAAGGCCACCTGTCTATAGTGGCTATGCATTTTGTCTCATACGAGAGAGGAATGTGTGTTGTAGAACCTGTCTAGAATGGCCAACTGTCTAGAGTGGCCACTTGTTCTGTTTCCCTTGGATGGCCTTAATAGACAGGTTTGACTGTACGAGCAGAAAATTTTACTAGTCTTTACCAATATGCAGGTTGGATTTTACTCTTGTCAGTGAGATATCAAAGGGACAAGAGCATAATTATTTAAAATCAAAATATCACAAAAGAAGGGAAAATATGCAGTTTTCTATTCATATCTTAAGGGCTGTGAAAGGGCAATCCTGTTTCAGTTGAATTGTAATCATATTTATAATCAGATGTTATTACAGATCTACTGATGTAGTGCATGATTTTTCACAATCCATACCTCTTGTAATCCTAAGACCATCACCTGCTATATACACACAACAAGGTATATTAAACCGCCCATGATTTACCAGAAGAAAATAAAAAAAATCAGAATGATGTGGAGTTAATTACTATGCGCTGTAAAAAATTGTATGCTTTATCAATTGATACACCGATAACAAGGCTGTCATACTTTTCAGCCTGTCTCTGATGTTTTTACCCTTTTAAGTCCATGAAGAAACAACACCTACCGTAAATAAAGAATTACGTACCATATACTTTTCCATATTGCATGTCTGAAAGAAGCCCAGTGCTTCATTAAATGACACCAGAGCTTGCTTTCTCACTGCGCTGTGTTTACCTGTGAAAAATTTATTAAAATTATCTATCAATGAATTATGATACATATACAAAGGAAACAAACATAATTGTCAGCCTGTACAATATTTCAATTCAAAAGGTTACATAAGCACTGCAAAGTCTCTTGTACAACCTGCTATCGTTCTGCAACATTACCATAATATGACCTTTTCTCCATTCAGAATTTCCAGAGAGGTTTACAGCTACAAAGTTTGGTAAGTTATGAATTATGAATGTATTTTTCCCTCACCCCTTCAAACTATCTATGGATGGTTAATAATTTTGTACAGGGATTGGTTGGACTTTATTTTGAAGTCACAAACCATTATACAACCCCCCCCCCCAAAAAAAAAAAAAAAAAACGCCCCCAAATCCACTTCACTCCAGAGGTTTGCGTGACATAAGAAAGTGAGAATTAGTACTACAATTTTCTTTTCTATACAAAAGGAAAAAGAAAAAGACCTAAATAAAGCAGAATATTTATCACACACAAAAACAAATCACAAACAAATAAAACAAACCAAACAGTAATCAATGCACATCAATAATGGGACATGTTCTGGTGTCTCTAGTTTCTTTACCTCACAATCAAAGACAGTTGATACTCACACAGTTAAATCACAAGATTAAAGTAATCAGAGGGAGGGAGGGAGGGAGGGAGGGAGGGAGGGAGGGATGATTGGACTTTACAAAGCGTCCTCATGATTTTCAGTCTCAAACTTTTTATTCTTCAAAATATGAAACTCACATACCTATTATCGTTTGCTAAATTAGAAGAAAAAAAATCACAAAGTCACAGTCTACAGATAGAAAAGACATGCAAGCATTTCAAATCTTCACAATACTAAGGACTATTGTACACATATTATAAGCAAACAAACTGGTCAACAAAACAAAACGCACAATAAAGAGACACATGAAAAAAACAATACCTGGCGAAGCAGCTCCTATTGAAGTTTTAAGAGTGATGAAAACAATACAAAAATAATCATAAAGGAAATAAATACCAGTGTAATGCACTTTGCTTCCTTATAAATCAATTTCAAATTGCTGGAAGCATTGCCCTCATGCAAGGATACAGTTTAAAATTGCAACAGGAAGGAACAATCTTACTCAGAAAATGAGAGAGTTTCGGTTTTTTTCTAAGAATGTTTTAAAATAAAAATAAAATAAAAACAATGCAATTTCTTATTTAGTATAGATATTTTATATGTGTCTTGATCAATGTGGCAAACTGAATGGAATTGCAATTACTAAAAGAAACGTCTTATAGCAAATTTTCCCGATTAAAGCCAAAGTTTATACCTGATGGCGTTTGACTTAGCTTTGCTGGCCTAAATTTTTTAATAAACCTGAAATAGAAAACAATTTCAATTTAGAACTTAAAGGGACTACTCACCTGGTTGGATTGTTTCTACAGCGTCCCACTCAGCTTGGGCTCTTAAAAGCTGTTCTGAGGGCTCCACGACTCCAGTCCGACTCACTTCTGCCTGTATACAAAAACATAATACACAAAAATAAACATGTGGGACTAAAGATGTTCAGATATTAAAGCTCTCTTGTTGTAGACAAGTAAAAATATACTAAACTTAGTCTGAATACATCACCAGCAGCAAATAAGCAAATAAATGAACGACTTAATATGCAGGACATGGAGAGTCAGAGTGGCACTTGACATGGACAAAACCTGAAAATAACCAGAAAAAAAGGTTTCAAATTGTCAATGCTTACCTTCAAAATGTCTTCTGTTGACGGGGCGGTAACCCCATTATTTCCGCTATCTCCATTGGCTTTACTGGATCCATTAACCAAAACAGGGTCACCGGTTTTGTCATCTTTCTCAACAGCCTGGTTGTGGGTCAATGAACTTTCATCGGAAGGCTGAGATTGGTCAGTCTTTGTAGGTTCCTCAGGGATAGGCTCTTCTACCTGTAAGTATTTAGAAAGTGGAATTAACCAAAATATAATGTTTGATGATATGGCTATGCCCTATAAGAAGGATAGGTCTGTACCTTAAGAAAAGAAAAGAAATCTTTCTACTAAAAATCCATAAACTTAATATTTTAGAAGAAATATGAAAAATACCAACAAAATGAAAAGGCTGAGGGTGACTAAAAAGACAAACAGGCATAGAGAGTGAATAACCTCACACAAAATAAATACATGTATCATAGATACTTTGCAATAAATGCACATAAATATAACCTGTATCCTCGACCAAATTTTACATCTCTATCCTAAGCCAAAGTTCAACTTTGTCTCATACTATACTGATGACTCAATTAAATATCCACAAAAGATGACATAAAAGGGATATGGACCAACTGCCTGCCAAAAGCCTAACAACTTTCTCTAAGCTCCTCAAGTTACCGGTACCTCAAAGGTCCTACACAAACTTACTCATCTGTGTGTTAAAAGATACACAAATCTGAAGCGCACTATGATTAAATAAACAAAACTGTGGTAATCTGAGGCAAATGTGGACAAGCCTTTATGCATCTTGAGCCAGTTTCTTGAAACCGTCCCAAGTCTAAGTTCTTGGACATCCCATAGAAATGCGTGTTAAAGGTAAAGACCAGTAATGGTCATGCGATTGCATTGTGAAAGAAACGTTGTGGAATCGATCAAAAAAGGTCGATCATCTAGCATCTAGCATCTGCAAGGTTCTGGAATCATCAAAATGATAAGAAATTTGGCTCATTCTTCGTAAAGTTACAAGCACTATACACAGAAAGATGTATATGGGACTACCCTATCTCTCTCACCAGACCATGAGAGAAATAAATTTACCAAATATATGAATTAGTAGGCGGTTTCCCGGCAAATTTTGTATCATCATGTATTAGTCAAAACATATTCTTTCACATGATTGGTAATGAGAGCTTCCATTTCATTTTTTGAAATTGGGGCGTTGCCAATACTGGTCTTTACCTTTAATTCTATAACACATGTTCCAATGGGATGTCTAAGAAGTGAGACTTATGACGGTTTCGAGAAACTAGCCCTGAACTTTGACGGCATCACTGACCTTAGCAGTCTCCTGCTCCACAGGTCCGTCTGCTTCATCCCCACTACCTCTGGTAGAGGGGGGTGTTGGTTCAGGTGCCGTGGTGGGGGCAGACGGTGACTTGAATACATCAACCTGTGCAAGCAAGGAAGGGGAGGTGAAAATCATAACACTAGGTATGACCAGGGTTCATGCATTTCTGATACATGTTGTAAACTATTTAAAGCCTGTCTGCACTAGTTTAACCAGGGGGAATAGATCTCCCTGCAAGGTCACTGACAGGTGGTTATCTCATCAAATCAGCTCTCAATTAACATAAGAAACAGGGGATCAAGGGGGACCAACAGGCACCGATAAGGCATTGTTTGCTAAATAGAGGGGCAAGTAGCTATAAGTAGTGCAGTGTACTTTTCTCAGACATAATAGCAGTTGATCCTGTATTAAAGATAGATTTCCCACTCTTCACATTAACTACATGTACCGGTATATAGACAGTTACCATGCAATACCAAAATACATGCCCACTGCTTCTTTCAACCTTTTATCTATTTCCATGTCAAGATAAAAACAATATTATTTAATGTTTAAAATACAAACATACATGTACACATCTGATAAAGCAATCTTTGTGGACATGATCACTATAGAAAGGTTCATATGAAACCAATTTATTCCCTCATCATTATAAACTAAAAATGTAAAATTATGAAATTGTCAGAACAGACCAAATGGTGAAGGACCTGCCAGGAAATATCAAGGAGATGCCAATTTATGCTTCATTGATTACAACTTCAGTAAGTCATCATTTTCTTATTATTAATCAGATTTTGCTCAAACTTTCAATTTTATGCTTTTATCAAAACAAATAAAATATGACTTGAACTATCACATACATTCTGAAACTCGTCCATGGAGACCTTGTAGTTGACTGCCTCACAGGCAGAGTTATCCCCTTTTGCCGCTGGCGTGTCATCTTCAGCTATGATGTCATTGAAATCATCATCATCATCCTCCTCCTTGTCTTCAGGTGGTTCAGTGATGTGGATCGCAGGAGGGGTCAAGTTACTACTGTTGTCCATACTACATGTAGATGGACAAAAATGATTCAAAAGTAAAGTGAAACCTGCTGAAGACTCTCTATAGAAAGACCCCCCTTGTGTAAAGACAACATTCCTTTATATTTCTTGAAAATTGCTTTTTATTCAAACTTGTAATAAAGAAAGCTGCACATGAAGATCACCTGCCTGTAAACACTACTTTTCTTGTCTTCCTCTATGCTTGAAAGATCGAGTGGTCTTTATTTTACAACAATACATAACTGACTGTTTACTTTTAAGTCCAGAACTTGCTTGTTAAAAGGTTCAAATGTCAGCCAGCAACATTATGACTGGGTATACAGACCAGTTATGCCAGATTTATTGGAAAAAATTCATCAAACTGCACTTAATTACCATCACAAATATTTTTGTCCTGTATAATATTGTCCAACATAAGTCTTAGAAGATTTTTGAAATATGGCTTGTAAACTTCACCATTTGAAATCAATGGTCCGGATACACAACCTATCCAAATAAACAAAGTCTGGGTATGAATGTGTAGGTTAGAGGCTCACTTTACATTAGATCTAAACACTAATACTCACTGTATGCTGGTGTGACCAAAGTTCGCGAGTGACCTAAGTTCGCTACCTCAAAAAATCAGTAAGATTTTGAAAACCTGATACCACCAATGTAAAGAGGAACACAAATTACCTAGTGTCAATTTTCTCTGGAATGGGGTGTGAAATTATGAGAATATTGACAAAAAATCAGCAAATTTTGCAGTCATTTGCATCCGTTCTGAAAAATTACTAATTTACCAATAAGGGTCTGAAAATCTTCATTTTGAGAGCAGGTATCGTCAAAATTTTAAGTAAAAAGTGTTACGGACTGAGCTGATTGTATGATATTGCCTTGCATTTTTGCAAATTATGAAATTACCTTATATTTTTGGTGGATCATATTTTTTATAAATCAGCTGTAAACACCGTACTTTAAGTAAGGTCTTATTGTTTTTATGACTTTTTTAGTTGCAGCGCGCACGGCGATCAGACATCAAATTTTTAGATAGCGATATCTCTGGAATCCTTTGACGATCAATTTTCTAGTTGAATCAATTTGAAGTAAAAGAAAAACTTTGCCGTCATTTGGTAATAATTGAAATGAATAATTTGTGTTGAATATGAGAAATCTTAGATCGAATAATAATATCACATTTTCTAATATTGTCAAAATCTCAAAATCTTTGGTCACTCCTGATCCTTCCACACCTTCATACAGGCAGACTTACAATTGCAACTTTTTCTTTTTTTAAAACAAGTTTTCCTCTCAGTCTCACCATCAAACTCTCTTATTCATCCTCTCTCTCTCTCAGCTATCCCCCTTCTCTCTCCCTTGAGTCCTTTCATTTCTTTTCAAATATGCCATATGGTAAGCATTTTTAATGCAGGTGTTTGGGACTTTGGCATAATGTTGCCATTGTGAATGTGATCATTTGTTAATTATGATTTGGCATTTGTTGCAGTTCTGACTTCTGTTGATAGACTAGAATAGATCTAAGTCTAGATTCTATAACGTTAGAACGACTGTAAAATACAGACGCCTCACTTTTCAGTACACTCAAATCAACATAAATACACAGGGTGCGATGGTAATGTAACGATGTGAAAGTGAAACTTAGAAACTGTAATTTGCCAAAACAAAGTTGTGTTTACCTGAAAGTGGAAGTCGCCATTTTATTTATTTTAGTGGATCTTTCAATAACTCTACTTAAAATTTATATTTTATGGTAATTAAATGTAATGAATAATATTAAGGATCCATCAAATAATATTTTAAAAAGTAATAAATATTTTTAAAAGTCATAAATCAACAAAAATTAACTTAATTGCTATTTTATTTAAATTCTAATAAAGTTATTGGTCCAAAATCAAGATGGCGGCCTACACGACCTCACGAAATTTGGTTAGATTAACAACCAAAATCTGTTCTTTACAAGCGTCACTGAGACTACACCGTACTTTCCGTAAGAGTTATCAAATAATTATTTTATGATATTAAAATTTGCTGACTTCAAACTAGATTCTGTAATTCTATTGTATGCGAATTCATGATTTAGATCTATTCATGCTGTGCCTGTCATGCTGTGGCTGTGATGAGTGGAGTGTGATTGAAATCTGGTCCTGTGGAGGATGAGCATATATGCGTGTGCGAGCGCTACGCCTACGGCCACGGGGACGTTCCTCCAGGCCAGGCGCACAGCCTGGGGGCGCTTTTTTTTTTACACAACTGTTTAGCCACTTCAGTCAGATATACTGTGCAAACGACTAGAGACAGAGTCTAGCATTACCCGAAAGGCGTTGTGGCGTGCGCCTATAATCCAGCTAACAGTGGAAGTTACAAACTGATTCAGCCTAGGACGCAGGTTCGAAACTGAGTCACGTCTTTCGGATGGTGAGGTTTAAAGGTCGGTCCCCAGACGTAAATATTCATATCTGATTGATACACGTCTGTAAAAACCCAATACACATACAATACAAGTGTTACACAGTGTATACTCTTCTTCTATGTACACTGTGTAACACTACTCGTTATTTGTTTCGGGTTAAATCTATCCTCCGTCTTCTCTTTCTTTATGTATTTCTGTGTTCTCCTTCAATCTACCCTCTTCTCTTTTGTCATGTATTTCTTTGTTCTCCTTCAATCTACCCTCTTCTCTATTGTCATGTATTTCTTTGTTCTCCTTCAATCTACCCTTTTCTCTTTCCTCATCTATGTTTAAATCTGATAGATTTCCTTTCTCCTTCTTTATGTATTAGTCCCTGTTTTTCCTTAGTCTATGATCCTCTTAGCTCTTCAATTATGTATTTCTACGTTCTTCCTTTGACTCATCCTCTTCTCTTTCCTTATTTCCTTGTTTTTCCTTCTCCATATCCTCTCCACTATCCTTAATGTTTTTCCCTTTCTATCAGTTTCCCTTCCCTGGGTGTACGTGCTTGGACCCTTGCACATATAGTGCGCTGACGACTTAGACTCTTTCACCAGAGCACTTCTTGGAACTTTTTCGCGAAAATGGCTAAACAGTTGTGTAAAAAAAATATGCGCAGCTTGGGGCCCGGTCTTAGGCATTGCCCGGCGCCGCCTTGAAGCGCGGGGAAGGAAGTGCAATGCCAATGAGACGTACATGCAGACTGATATGTATTTGTCAACCTTATTTATTCCCCACATCGGGGTGAGATGGTATCCCTTGGCCTTGCGGCATTCTTCAAAGTCAAAGCCAAAGGGGGTGAATTAGTGAATAGCTAGCCAATTTTTGAGGGAATCAATCTGGCCCTGGTTTTAATTCTATTTCTAGACTAAACTAGACTAAACAGTTTGATTTAGAAAAAAGAGCTAAACCGTATTAAAACGAGGATTGTCTTTGTAAACGCAGACAAACCCTTCCGCAAAAATAAGATCGTCCGCATTCTCGCGGGCGATACTTAGACTATTCCCGATCCGCGCATTGGCAATGTGAAAAAAAAGGATTTCACGATTATTTACTTGATGCATTTTACAGAGACTTATACGTTAAGAGCGATAAATCCTCTGGCAGACGGACATCCCATAAAAGTAGACGGTGAATTGGAGGTATTTTATTACGCGGAATCCATTTTTTGCATCGCCAGCGCATGGTTTGGGAACCCAAACCTGCAGAGCGTCGAAGAAGAAAAATGTCCGCAAAAATGCAGACGATCCTTAATTTTTTAGGACACAATTTGTCTACGTTTACGAGAATATCCTCCTTTAAGCGGAAGATCCTCATTCTTGGACTGGCGCCCCTACTACATATAGTGCTAGACCGCTAGAGTCTATTATTATTGTGTATGATAAAAACAACATTGAAAACATGGGCATTTATATTATTGTTAATCACCCTCACCCATGTGACCAAACTTCAACTTTACATCACAGGGGGTGATTATTTAATATAAGAAATTTTTAAGATTTCAAAAATTGAGCACCATCTTTGTAAAGAATGAACTAGATTGATGTATTGATCAAATCTTAAATCTGCTTTATAATTAGATCCAGGGAATTCTGATTTCTGAGTTCTCTAAATATTGTCTGAAGATTACAAAATTTGCAAGTATTCTGAAAAATGTGACCATTGACCAATTCCACCTATTTCAAGTGGTGCTCAACAGTCGAAACTTCCCTTAATTTGTGTCTTTAACAGTGTCTCATCAATCTCTTTTTAACATCATATAGCTGAAAATACTGGATATATTGTTAGTAACTTGGTAATCACATGAACACCAACCCTTGTGACATCTTGTCTTAGTAATTCTATTGATTCATATTGTCCAGGGTAAAGCATTTCAGGCAATTGCAATGCTGTTACTAAATGAAATTACTAAATGAAATTATTCCTCATTTTGTTTATTTCCTCCTTGTTGTACAGCTATTTTGACTACAAGCACCTCACAGCAGGCAAGATCATTGTGTAGATCGAGCGAATGGAAGAATCCACATAAAGACAGACAACAAGTGCAACAAACTGAGGTATAAAGAAATAGTGATGTTCACATGTATATATGTATCATATGATTTCACGTTACTGTATCATCAACAACTTCAATTATTTAGATGAGCATAAAGAGATAAACATTTGAGAAATAACATGGAACAGCATTCTTTGTGAAACAGAACAAAAGTTGGAGTAAAACAACGAAATGTAGAATTTTGTTAGTCTGGTGGAGATGGGTATAGATTAGCTGGTCCCATTTTTAATCCAAACTACAGCAATAGCACACTTTCCCCATGACCCAAATCACAACCTCCTTGAAAATACTGCTCTAATGTCTTTTCGCAAGGTACAAATCCCTACCCTGTCTGACGGCTACTTCAGAATGTTAAACTAAATATTTCCCAAAGACATTGTGTATATTTTGTTGTTGTTATTTAGTTGTTGTTTGTTTTGTTTCTCTGTTTATTTTGGGAGTATTGCAATGCTGTGTGCAGTATAAAAGGTGTATAACATGCATAGTTTTGTTAAACAAAGTATTCCCAATATTTGTTTTCTTCCAGGCCATCGACTGTGAGGAGGACCCGTACAAACTAGCAGTAGAGAAATGCATTTTATGCAAATACCAAGTTCCAATTTCATATAAGGTAAATACTAAATTCTGTCTATATTCATATGTAATGAAATACAAACCGTTCAATTGAATTCTCTTGATCTGTATGTTTCGAGAAATATTTGATGCTTAACTATTTTGGGTATTAAAGTATTGATAGAGAAACTTGAGTATAGTTTATTGATAGAAGGGATGCTGATGAGGGTGTTTTCACAAAGAAGAAAGTACCGTTGGGGAGGGGGGGGGGGTAGAAAAGATTGCAATGAAGTGGGGCTGCAAAGCAGTCCTTACCTATTTAATCCAGAAAAGTTGCCTCAAATATCTTGCTCTTTATTATTGTTGATTTCACAACATAGTCTGTACTAACACTAATTTAAAAAATACCTTGTTCATATCTTCTTTGGAACACTGATTTTAAAAACTAACTTTATTTTCATTATTGCAAAGTTGAAACTTTAATATTTCAAGGTTATCAAAATTCAATGCTTGGAAACATTTGAAGTAAAGATTATTATAAATTTCAAAACGCTTAAATACAGCCCCGGCATAGCTCCTGAAGAACTCTCTAACTCTCTATTAGCTTACCAGTTTTTAGTTTTTAGTGATACATTAGTTGACATATTTGTGATTTTCTTTGAATTTCCACTTTAAGAAGGCTTTTGACTCTCGTTTTTAAGGTCCTGGCTTGTATCCTTGGGTAAGATGTTTTTATCTGCATTTGCCTCTCTCATCCCAGGTGTATTCGATGATTACCTGGTAACAATGAGGGAAAACTATTTGCAGGGAACTCAGAAAAAAGTATAAATACTGATGAGGTCATGCTGGATGAATAAATACAATATAATGAGTAATATTTATTTATTGTTTTTTATTATTATTATTACTATCTTTTATTTTGTTTGGTCTTCCAGAATGTCCAGCTGCTCTCTCAGTTTGTATCTCCCAATACGGGACGTATCTTTGGCCGTCACATCACCAAGCTTTGTGAAGCCCAGCAGCGTCGCGTAACCAAGGCTGTAAAGAGGGCCATAACGATGGGTAGGTGAAAGGGTTTATAGAAAAGCTATAATTTTTAAGAGACTCATGAACGCACTATCGCATATCGCATAACACCGGTGTGTTGGCTCAGTCAGTAGAGCATCCACCTCACAACCAGGAGGTCGTGGGTTCGAACCCCAGTCACGTCATACCAAAAGACGTTAAAAGACGGGAGTTGCTGCTACCTTGTTTGGCATTCAACAATAAGGGGATAGAGCAATGTCGATCTGGCGCTGCTCAGTGGCTGCCAGGCTCATGATCAATTGGGCAAAAAGGAATTTCCATTTTCGGTTGAATAACATTTGGAGTGGACTAAAATATTATTATTATTATTATTAAACTTTGTACCCAAAATTATACTTCACCGTAACCCCAGTCCCTAACATATCCTTTCAAAAATCTAATTTCAAAACACATAGCATATGTTGCTATCTAGAGTAGATATTGGGTCATTGAAGTCGTATCTGGGGCCATTGCATAAAACATAACAAACATTGATGGTAACTGCCATGGAAACCTCAATTTTACTTGAGTGTCGATGATGTTGCCATTGTTAATATTGATGGCAAAATTACCATCAGTGGTAAGTTTTATGCAATGGGACCCTGGATCTTAGATGAATAGTTGTACAGTCAAACCTGCTTTAGTGACCACCTGTCTACAAAGACCACATTTTTTTTGTTTCCCTTGAAAATGGTTTCTCATTGAAACATGTACTAAATGAATCTGTCTTCAAAGACCACTTTTTGTGTTTCCCTTGGGCGGTTGCTATAGACAGGTTTGAATGTACCTTCCGTAGCAGAAAATCTGTTGATGATTCTGCTTATTCCTTTATCAGGTTTTATGCCAAGCCAGTACAGGACAACCCAGTTCCTCAAGGACCCCAGCCTCTATGATGTCAGGTACACAGGGAGCATTGCGATCGGACAGTACTCCAAACTCCCTGACAGCAACATCAGCGAGGAGGAGCTGTTGGAGATGCAGCAACGTGCTGAGGAAGAAGCAAAGACAACGCAAAGTTGATGAACGATGCATTCATATTTAAAAAGGACTATGTGATATGGTGCAGTGATATGACAGTTGAAACATCTGTGGACTGAGAACTCTGAAAGGGCAGTATTTTGTCGTCAATTGGCAACAATGCGATATCATCTGATCTCAAGCATCAAGAAACATTACTGCAGCGATGTTGATATGGACTTGTAGTTTTGTATTGTGCGATTTTCTTCAGATTCCATACAGAATTAAGAATATTCACGAAAAATTGTCAGTTAAGGCACTTATTTGGATACTACCTTAGCAATGATGGTTTCCCTCATGCAGGCTTGAATATAAAGTTGGGAGAAACAATTCCTTGTAAAAATTCTCCAGATATGAGCCCTGGGAATATTTAAAGATTTGAGAAAGGTTGATTATGTATTACATAAGAGTTGATATGTACTGTAAAGTTTTGGAATTATCAAATGAAAACAAATTGGATCAGTCTTTTTGAAGATTACATGCATTGAAATGGATATACATGTATATGGGACTACACACAAATGTTTGACTCCTATGTTTTAGGCTTTCAGCTATGTATTGTCATATTTCCGATAATTGGTCATTTTAAAAGCAATCCTTTCAAAGGAGACATTTTTACTCTGAAATTCTTCCAAACTTACAAGCAAAGATTGAGAAAGCTCATAAGTTATTTGTCATCTTTACCAGAACTCAACCTTCTCTTTAAAAATATTCAAAAATCATCCTGCCAACAAGTGACCATCAAAGAATCCAAGACATATATCTTGTCTGCTTATAGGAGGTCAAGGAGGACTTGAAGCTAATTTAGAGGTGATCTGCAGTGAAGTAACGTACCATGTTTTAAGGCAGTTATCAAGTTTTTAGCATTGATACTTTATCCTCCTTGTTCAAAATTTCAAATCTTACTAAACGCTCTGTGATTTAGAATATAATCAGAAGAGTCATGTTGATAAATGATAATAAATACATGCTTTATAAAAGAATATATTTGTAAAGACGATTATGACATGAAAATAAAACAAAAGGAGATCAAATAAGTTATCTTCAAATAAAGTAAAATGCTTGATTTCTAGGGAGACTTGTATGGTGTATGGTGTAAAAAAATGTGTATAATGCATAAAAGCAATCCAGTTATCGTATCCCACTATTTGAACCAATACAAGAAAATAATGTATTGTGAATCATATTAGAATCATAATAATACAATGTGCTAATGTGACAAGTATGTGAGAAAGAAGTGAGAATTGTAGATATATAGAAACCGCTTAAAAAGGAGTACTGGTAGCTAGTAGAAAAAGAAAAACGTGCTTGGAGGTGGAAGAGAGAGAGAGAGAGAGAGGGGGGGGGGGGATATGGAGTGGAGAGACAAAAAAGAGAGAGAGAGAGAGTTTCTGCTTTTGTGTACCTTGCAATATATACTTTTTATAAGTAACCTCATCAAAAGAATAATGTTAAAAACCTCATGAAACTTTGCAAACAAGAGAGGGGGATATGGACTTGAGAGACAAAGAAAGACAACAAGAGAGAGAGAGAGAGGGGGGGGGGGATTTCTGCTTCTGTGTACCCTGCAATATATACTTTTTATAAGTATCCTCATCAGCAAAAATTATGTTAAAAACCTCGTAAAACTTTACCAGAATAATTTTATGTGAATAAATTATCAGAAGCTTCTCACCAGCGAATGAGGACGAAAAAGAAAATAATAAGAGGAACAAACGTAATATTTTAGGGCAGAGAGAGAGAGAGAGAGACGTTTTACATTACGTCTTTAAAATTGATCATTGAGCCACTGAACTGAAATTTCTGTGGCCGAAACCATGGACCTGACCGAAACAGACGCTCCCTGAGAAAAGCCACAAGCTGTATGCTGCCCTCTATTGCAATAAACTTTATAATGGTACAGACATGAACTGCGATTTTTAGGGCAATGAGTAGCGATAAAACAGGGAATCAACTGTATTTTGTTTATTCGCGGTTCAAAACACGTAAATAATATAAATACCCGATGTGGTTCGGGTAATAAAGTCGAGAAATGCTGAAGTTCTGCAATATGTCTTGTTAAAAATGCACCAGGAGACACTCATTGCAAAAAGATTATGCTGTCCTCTATGGTCAAAAACATTACAATAGTACTGTAATTGTATATTGATACAAGACGCAGATGTAAAATTAACATACACCGGACAATTATTGTCAATGTTAAGAAATTAATAATCAGGTAAACAGAAAAAGGAGCGTAGTACTTTTTCAGTTGGGGCGAGGGAGGGGCAAACTATAAAATCGGAATAATATTTTCCCCAGGAGGATACAGTTCATTCCATAATAATTATAAGGTTGGACTCCGAAATAATTAAAGTACGCCTCTGATTGCTTGTTTTAAATCGGATATTAGTCCAGTTCGCAGTTCAGTATTTCTTTCATTCTCAATAAAAAAATAACATACATAACATGCATAAAAAAATTAAAAAAACAGAGTATCATCAATAGAAATCAATATAGAGCAATGAGACAAAAACAAAATATGAGAATGAGGTGTCCACTAAAAAAAAGCCTTATCGAACGTTGACCCCAAAATTAACAACACGTTAATGATTATAATAAAAACAATCAGACAAATAAATAAAACAAAGAAATAAGCATGCACTATATAACATTTCAAACTATGAATACAACATTAAAAGATTGGATATTAGCTATGGTCAAGCTCTGCTGATGTCAAGTATTTTTGAAATTATGCCAGGACTGATAATTCGGCAAAACTTAATCGAAATTTGGGATTAAATTTACGGTGAACTCCTACGGTCATCTGTAAAACTACATAAACTATATTTAGATGGCGAGGAAGGTTTTTTTCTTCTTCAAGTAATGCGACGAGGGCTAGTGGTGTCCATTTATTATCGACGAGTATAGAAAAGTGCATAAACTAATTTTATTGTTCTTTTCTGTTTTATAAATACATTTACACAAGTTTTCCACCAGATGATTATCCTAACAAAAAAGACGTTCTTATAGTTTTACGGTCCATGATACTTTTAAAAATTATTCAAGTTTTAGTCAAGCTCATAAGTTCATCCAAGTTTATTATTCCATGGTAAACCAAAACTTGGTAGGCCTATAGTTAAGTTATAGACCTAATTACTCTGGGATCTTGTTGTTGTTGTTTGGTACTATCGGCGTTTCATTCTTTTTTAGAATCACGATACATAGCAGTCCTTCTTCCGCGCATTTTTTGTATAAGTTTAAAGAAATATCATAATTAGACAATATTTAATCTTTTGTTTTTTCTATAATTGTTATATTTATTTGCTTATTTATGATTACTTATCAGACAGTATCTTTTATTAATTTGTGTGTGCTGTGTTAGCGAAAATTGTTTATATTATATGCAGCTAGAAGAAAATAAATCAAACTTATCAAATCAATTCAAATCAAATTGATGGGGGGGGGGGGGGGGGGCGGTCGGGGGCACAATTATGTAGGCATAGGCCTACTGCAGGCTACAGCTGTGTACAAGTTAGATGCAGTAGGGCATAACGTATACTTCAACAACTTAGGCAATTAACATTGATCTATATACTGGCGGATGGATACTAACTTATTACTAATTTCAATCGGATGACTAATTAATGTTGGTTCAATTCTTCAAAGGACTCAAATACTAACTTGCAACTGAACACCGAAATAGATTCTTTCCAGCAAAGACACACATGAGATCAAGCTCAAATATAGGTGTTTTTCCCCCTTCAAAGTCACTCTCCTATTTGGATGATCGCCAACACGAGATAGGCCTATGTAGCGATGAACAATTTGTAAATGTCATAACTTTTCCATCATTGACAGATGATTTTGGTAGGCAAGATTTAGCTGATTTCGTTCAAATTGCCGTCTTTCACCTATTACAGTTGCTACATTTCTATAAAAAATACCGGGTTATTTTGGGACAAGAGGAGATGGATTCCACCCCTTGGAATCCGGGCTTGGAATCTCAGCAATGCATTTGGAATGATGAAAAGTTCTGAAACATAGCCGAATTTATTAGAGTATGTCTTAAATATTGCTTAAGCCAGTGGCGTAATGAGCAAAACCTTTTTGGGGGTCAGAACACAATCTGCATCACCATCAAGTAGCATAATGCAGGGGCGGCGTGCGTCTTCAAAAAAAAAAAAAAAAGGGGGGGGGGGGGGGGGCATCAACAAAAAAGGGCACCTACAAAGGGAAACATTAAAAAAAAAGACTGAAAAGTTCTTTTAAATGTAATATAATACATTTATTACTTTTAAAGACCGTCAATACTACTGGGTCAGAGGGGATTAGACCATCCAGCCAGGTCGCTGACAGGTGGCTATCTCATCAACTCAGCTCTCAACTAACATCAGAAAAAGAGGATCATGGGGGACCAACAGGCACCGATTTAGGAAGTCTTCTATATAGAGGGAGCAAGTAGCTACAAGTAGGACAGTGGGGCTTTAAAAGATGTTATTAACATCTATTTAGAGAAGAAAAGGTGCTCGTGTCAAAGTATAAAAGGCAACTAACAGAAGTGAAAATGGGGAATCTTTTGAAGGAAAAGGGCACCTATCAGAATTATAATAGGGGGCATTTATCATATGTTAAAGTGGGCATTTTAAAAAGGGGGAGGGGCTCATAAAAAATAGGAAAAGGGGCACTTATCCGAAGGACATAATTATGGTACTTATTAAAAAGGCAAAGGGGCACGTGTCACAATAAAAGAGGCAATTATCAGAGAGGTAAAAAGTCGCATTGAAGAGAAAGAGAAGAGGGTTCTTATTGGCGAAGGAAAAGTGCACTTATTAAAAAAAAGGAACACGAGTCAAAGTAAAAAAGGGGATCACTCGGAGATAAAAAAAAAAAAAAAAAAAAAGAGAGGAAAAGGACAGTTTTATGGGGGGGGGGGGGTCAACTGCCCCCCCCCACCATTAGTACGCCAGGGGCCATGAAGTTTCGTATCTATGTAGGCCTATAGCCTAAACGGGAATATGGGTTGAAGTAATAGGGCAATCAGGAAGAAGTGGGACAAAACTCTCAAAACAAGTCAAATTTTAGTCATAGAGTAAGTAGGAGATGTTAAATTAATAAATCACTTTAAAAAAGAATCTTTTACAGTCGCTTGTATAACTTACCTAATTATATTTATACGGTTTGGCCCCGGCCGTTTGTCTGAAGTACTTTTCTGCAAATATTAATTGCCTGATACTGACCGCGGTCCATTAGTGTTAAAAAATTGCATTTACAAATTATAAACGCCCCCCCCCCCCGTAATACAGGATTTTACTCGAATATACCCAATTTAGACATATAATTATCTTCATTTATCTATTTCATCCTGCAATGTACAGGGACACTCCACAGGATCTGTAAGTCGGGATGTAATGCCCAAGAAGTAGTTGAAATGCTTTGATTATGATTTAATTATGTTCTATCACATGTCATTTAATTTCAATAAATATGGCATGGGGTCACTGCCCAAACACAAAATAAAACAAAACAGCAACAAAAAAACATTAAAATATGCCATAAAGCCCATATGGCATCTTTTCCCGATCTTTTCCAGAAATGCTTGGACTTGTGACCGCTTCTAGGTCAGAGATGCCGGGATCAGACACGGGTAATTAATCTAATTAATAATTATCTAATCTAACTTTACTATTATGGCATTGAGAAGTTATAGGCTATCTTTCAAGAGTATACACATTTCATGCATTTGATTTCTCGGGACATTTTTACTTTACCATACAAATCGACACATTTTCTTTGCAGATAAGATGTAGATTTGATCTGCGCATGCGCACTGTAAGCTATTTTTACCCGATCGGAAAACTGGACCAACCGTCATGGAATTCAAATTTGCTTGTTCGCGATTTGTTGGCTACAATCAAATGACAGTGTTTTCTTCAAAAGTCAGTTTTCATATTTCGGTAAGATTCATTGATTCTGTTGACATAATTTGAGTAACTGTGCTTTCTTGAAAAGGACAATATGATTCTCTTTTCTGTGAGCGATGACGTGTGGCCTGTGGTTCAGGTTCGGACTATAATGAGATGTGCACAAAATGAAT